GGCTTGCGAGACGTCGGAGGAACGAGAGGTTCGGGATCATAAAGCTTTTGTTCTCCATAACTACTTCGTCGATGTGGCTACTACACATGCTGTAGCAGTCATAAGGGAATTGGATTCTTCAAGCTCATTCCAGACAGAACATGTAGAGACCAGAGGTACTCTCAAGTTCTCCGTCACTCGAGATGCCACAGATCCCGGCAGAAAAGTTGTATGGAAAATAGAGTCGAGCTCAACAACGGAGTTTCAAAGGGAAATATCGGAACGGAATGTTTTGAAAGGAATTACGGCTGACGAAAGCACCGTTGTCCATGTAAGTTTTTTTGGTTTGAGCTCTCGTGTAAAAAGTTCACTAACGTTTTAAGTTGGCAGGACACTTGTACATTAGGTATTGTTTTAGTTCGACATCAAGGATATAAGGTAGTTGTAGAGGCAGTCCCGACGGAGCGCACTCAGGATATTCTCGAGATCATGGATCCACCTGAAGGCGGTGCAAACGCACTCAACGCAAACAGGTATTTGTCTTAGAGCATAGATTTCATAAGTGACTTCCCTTATTTTATCTTTTTGTCAGCCTCCGCATTCTTCTGCATAAGAAGTCTCAGAGACTGGATACTAGTGGCGAGGAAGAGAAGCGCGCCAAAGATCTTCTTTCTGAAACAATAGACAAGGCAATTTCCAGCGTAAGCACGCAGGGACCCGTTAATCCGAGCCAGTATTTCAGGTGGGAACTCGGCGCATGCTGGGTCCAACATTTAGGAGAAATAACAAAAGCAAACAGCAGTGAGAAAAGTGATAAAAGTGGCCAGAAACCGAGCAAGGACGAGGAACCTGTGTCTGAAGATGTCTCCCCTCTGAAAGGACTCCTTCCCGAGTCTTCTTTGGAGCGACTTAAAGGAACAAAATCAGGCCTTCACCTAAAGGTAGCAAGCCTTTTATTTCTTATGACGTTACAGAATTTTTTCTTTTATATAAACTTTCAGTCTGTTGCGGAGCTTATGAACGCAGCGGAACAATATTATAATAATGTGGCGCTTCCTAAGCTTGTAAGCTGATCCCATACCTCTTAGTTTTCTCACATCTTGATACCTTAACTTCCAGGTGTCAGATTTTTCGGCTCTTGAGCTCTCTCCTGTTGAAGGGCGAACTTTGACAGATTTTATGCATATACGTGGGTTGAGGATTTTCTCACTGGGACAACTGGTATAATAATCTAGCACTTTTCTGATAATTTTTCTTACATACTGAGTGTTTGACAGGCTGATCTGTGCTCAAAACTTCCGCACATCAGGTCGCTGTGCATCCACGAAATGATTATCCGCGCTTTTAAACACTTGCTTCGAGCTGTAGTTGCCTCCGTGAAAGAAACTTCCGAGCTAGCTTCTACAATCGCGACTGCTTTGAACGCCATATTTGCTAGCCTGCCAGCTGAAGGCAAAGAGGAGCCTGTTGAGAAGCATGTCTGGAAATGGCTGGAGTCGTTTGTCGCCGCGAGATTTAGATGGAAACTCGCTTATGATTCGCGGCTAAACCTGCGTAAGTACGCACTTCTTCGAGGGATTTGCTATAAGGTCTGTTCTCTTCACTTATTTATATTCATCTACTTACCATTCTTTTACTAGGTTGGCATTGAAATGGCTCCTCGAAGCTATAACTTTAACAGTACCACAATTTTCTCGAAGGCAGATGTAATAAGCTTGGTTCCCGTGTACAAGGTTTGTTCTTAAAACCTGTTTCATTCTTCCGTCATTTTGACAGAATTTTCATTTGTGCTTCCAAAGCATGCAATTTGCTCGTCCGCTGATGGACGCACGCTCTTGGAGTCGTCAAAAGCGGCATTAGATAAAGGAAAGCTAGAGGAGGCCGTGTCTTTTGGAAGCAAGGTAAATCTCTACCATTCTCGTACATTTTTCTCTAATGTTTGTTTGTAGGCCCTGACAAAATTGATAGCTGTTTGCGGGCCTTACCATCGAATGACTGCTGGAGCATATAGTTTGCTTGCAGTGGTTCTTTACCACACAGGAGACTTCAATCAGGTACACAAAAGCTACATATTGTATTAATGTAATTGATGACTTAATTGATGACTTTTTGTGATCAGGCCATGATATACCAGCAAAAAGCTTTGGACATAAATGAGAGGGAGCTTGGACTTGACCATCCGGATACAATGAAAAGCTATGGTGACTTGGCTGTCTTTTACTACAGGCTTCAACATACAGAGTTGGCATTAAGGTAAAGTTGCTCTTTTAAGTAGTGTACTCTATTAACTTCTGAGGTCAGATACGTTAATCGGGCACTTTACTTGCTGCACTTGATCTGTGGACCCTCACATCCGAATACAGCTGCTACTTATATAAATGTAGCTATGATGGAGGAGGCTCTTGGAAATGCTCACGTAGCTTTGCGATATCTACATGAAGCACTTAAATGCAACGAGAGGCTTCTCGGCAAAGATCATATTCAGGTGATACTATCTCAAACAAAACAAATCAGTTTTCATCTGGAGTACTTTACAGACTGCAGCAAGCTACCATGCAATTGCTATAGCACTCTCACTGATGGAAGCATATACACTCAGTGTCCATCACGAACAAACTACGTATCAAATCTTGCAAGCAAAGCTTGGTCCAGATGACATCCGCACACAGGTTGATCGACTCCCTCTTGATTGTGAAACAGTCTCTCATGCATGATATGTGTTCTTTACAGGATGCTGCTGCCTGGCTTGATTATTTTGATTCTAAAGCAGTTGAGCAACAAGAAGCCACAAGGACAGGGGCACCTAAGCCTGATCCTTCTGTTGCAAGCAAAGGCCATCTTAGGTAGATGTCTAGTTTTATTTCTTCTTAAATCATATTGTGCTGCTTTTTATTGTAGTGTCTCTGATCTTCTAGACTACATTAACAAAGAAGTATCAACATCAAGTGAGAAGGATAAAAAGCCTAAGCGTTTGAAGGTAGAGTACAAACTGCCATTCGATTGTGCGCCACTTACTTTGTTTTTTTATACAGATTCTAACTGTAGAAGATAATGCGGATTCTCCAAAACAAGAAGCAGGGAATTCAAGCAGTACTCAGAGCCAAGAGGAGAATCCTATCATTAAAGAAGAAGTTTCGGGACAGGTTAGAGAGCCTCCTTCCAACGCAGAAGATCGCATTGCCAAGATTTCCAGCTCAACGGAAGTTTCCAACGCAGCGGTGATATCTTCGGAAGAGGTTAATGAAGATGAAGGATGGTTCGAAGCTACATCAAGAAGGAAAACGCTACAAAGAAAGAAGTTTAGCAGTTCAGATGTATCTGGCACTAGCAGGATGGGATTTAAAGGCACACGCCCTGATACTCCTTCCGAGAGTGGTAGTGGTACGCAAGAGAAGCTGGACGTTCCTTCCGATAGTGGTACACAGGAAAAGCTGGAAGTTTCTTCTGGGGTGGCTGAACAAGGTCAGGTTCCTAGCGTCACAACACAGGGTAACAGATCCTACAAAGACGTGGCTCTGATGATGATACGGCCGTTACAACAATTGCAGCAAGCAGCAGTGAAAGTGGCAGGGACCAAAACAGAAACGAAAACAACAGGGCAAGCTGAAGAGGAGGATTTGATGTCTTGCGAAGGATCTTCGAGCTGTTCTTCATCAGCAGCAGCCACAACTCCTGCGAAGACTAGTATTCCCAAACCAGCTTCTCGTCCCGACTCACAACAAACTACCATTGAAGTGGCCATGACTCCCATTCGAAAGCAGGTACACCTTCCTTCAAAAACTCAGGACTGCCAACCTTCTGTTGTCACACCGCCACCTCTTGCAACTCCAGCCTCCCTTTTCAATGCCCCTGGATCTCCTTCTCACCATCCTCCTCCCACCACACCTGGTGCCAAGAAGCTTATGAATCCTTTTGCAATCGAGTTTGTCCCGGGCAGAAAGTGGCATCCGTTTCTTCCATCCGAGACTAACTCTTTACAAACAGGAGGATCAGGCTCTAAAGATCAAGACGAAAAGAGGGAAAGCCAAGGTGGTGTGAGTGATGGTGATGGCGATACAACAGAAAGTCTAGAGCAAGGCAGTCCCGAAAAACCACAGGCAGAGGAGACAGTAAAAAATAGTGAGTTAGAAATGGCAAAGACACAAAGGCTCCAGGAAGAAATTTTATTACATGAAGAAGCGGCAGCAGCAGCACAAGGCTCAATCGCACAGGAGGAGCAAGACGAAAGTTTTGAAGGGGAAGTAGCAATAACAACACCAAGCATAAGTTTGGAACAAGAGGACACTGGTAGCAACAAGGAGGGGATTCACAGTGACAGTGACGAGAGATTGCTAGTTGCTGCGGGGGACAGAGATCAATCTGGCTTTGCAGCAGCAATGGCAAGCAAAAGGTGGTGTAGCAGTAGCAACTTTACGAGATCACGGAGTCGCGGGGCTCGCTGGCAGCGGCGCTCGGACGGAGCGATCACCAGAGTGTACAGGCTGCAAGAAGGGAGCTCCAGTGCCAACCCGCAGCTGAAAACCACCTCCACTTTCACAAACGTCCCGGAGCCGCACACATTGCAGTCGCCAGCGTCGTCCACTCTCATGAGGAGCGTGCGAGTAAGCTAGAGAAGGGCGAGAGTTCTCACGAAAGAAAAATCCATCTAGCACGCTTGGAAAGGACGAAAAAATAAGAACGCTATGTCATGGAATGCTCCATAAGTGTCTTCTCTGGCCCAAAGGTTTAAAGGTTTAAAGGTGGCACCACTTTTTGTTTTGTTTAAACAACCAGTTTAGGGTTTATGGTTGCCGAGGCTGGGGGCTTCGTTCCGTACCACCGAGGCTGGCTGGGCCAGGTTCGGTAGCCAAGCGGTTTTGCGGTTTCGTTAATCTTGGGCGAGCGGTTCTGTTTCATCATCGTCATCGTCGTCGTCATCACCAACAGTGGTGTGGGTTTTTGTTGGTGGTTTTGCGTTGTCATCCGCTTTGCTCGCTCTCCCTCCTCCCGCGAGCTCGCCACTTTGATGCCACAGCGCTTCCATGGATCCCCAGAACCGAGGAGCAACCGGAGGAGGAGCTAGTAGCGCCAGCAGGTTCCTGGGCTACAGCCGCCTCGCCAGGCCTCGCTCCATGCGAGCCTGCCGCGTTCGTTCTCTCAAGGTTGGTCTGCGAGGCTTAGACGCACAAAAGCAAATTCTTTTTCCACGAAGTTTGTATGGCTTATGGATCTCACAACTTGGGTGGTGTAGTTACAGGAAAGAAGTGGCGCAACCCAGCAAGTCCCAGGGCTTAAGCAGGGGACAGAGTTCTTCGAACTTCTAGCAGCCGTTGCCGGACAGTTTCTCCAGGACGCCAGCAGCAGTGGAGAGCCCGAGTGCGATGGTGGTGGCGGCCGAGACAGGAGTAAAAAACCCGCTACCACTGCTGCGGCTGCGGCTGCCGCTGCCGCTGCTGCTGCCAAGCATGGTGATTCTTTCATTCGTGTTTCTTCTTTCCATTCTGAATGCTTGGCTTTCAGCTGGCTCGTTTCGCAAGAGAAGGTACCAGAACGATCCTCCCTTTACTGCTCGACAAGGAGGAGGAGGAGCTCGCGGCTCGTCGTCCAAGCGGAAGAAATCCCCGGATGACGCTGGAAGTGCCGACGATATGTCGCAAGGATCTCTGGATAATATGATGAGCATCGACTTCGAAGGTATGCTTGCCATCTTCTTCTTGCTTGATCTCTGTGATCTTGTTTGTAGCCAAGGCGGCAACGCCAACACCATCATCGGCCAGTGGATCATCGTCTCCTCGAAAAACAGGTGCTGTCTCTAAAGAACAGGTCCTCGGTGCATTGATTTTTCACTCGGTATTGGAATGCTCATCCATGGCCTTCTCTTCTCTTCCTGCAGTAAAACTCAGCATCAAATCCTTCACGGTTCCAGAGCTTCTCATCGACATGCCAGAGTCTGCAACTGTAGCCAGCCTCAAGGTAAAGTAGTTTTTCTCCACTCTCTCGGTAGTTTCTTGTTGGATTGAAAGGAAACGAAAGATAAAAACCGTCTTTGTTTTGCACAGAAAGCTGTGCTGGATGCAACGATGAACCTGCTGGGTGGTGGCCTGAGAATTCGTGTTTTCCTCCACGGCAAGAGAGTCCCTGACGAGGAAGCCACACTGGCTCAAGTCGGGCTTTCCGCTCAGGCTGGAAAGAGCGGCTCTCTGGGATTTATGTTGGAGCCAGCATCCTCTTCCAACTCCGAGGATGCTCTCCTCGGACTCTCTCAAGCAGCCAGCCAGCCAGGAACTTGGTAAAATCTCGACGTCCTTTGTTTCTTCTTCTCATCACTTCCTCGCTTGTTTCCATTCTAGGCACCCGACTTTGGCCGTGAGCACGGACGGGAGCTGGGCCGTGGTAGAAGGCCAAGAGAAAATGGAAGACGCTGTGATTGAGACAGATGCTCGGCTCGCATGCTCGCTGGTTTCGGGTGGTGGTGGTGATGGACAGGCACAGATAAATGCCAAATGGACTGGTACAACAACACACCTGCTTTGTTTAGACGGATGCCATAAAAACAATCTGAGAACATATAAAGCAACACGGGTGACAGCGGCTGGGGGTATGACCTTTCATTTACAGCACACAAGAACAAGGAACAAAAGAACGAACAAAAACCAAGAAAGGATAACAATTCACAGGCTCTTTTCTTTGTTTCTCTCGTGAGAGTGAGTGATCGTTCTCTCCATCTTCTTCTTCTTCCAGATGTCGAGCAAGCAGGAGCCATCGTCCAGCATCCGACACTAGGAGGGGACAACTCGTCGCAGAGCCTGGCTATGGTTTCGTTGCGGCAGAAGCAGCTCACCATCGAAGGCACCAAGCGCAGGATACGAAGGCCCTTTACAATCTCTGAGGTGGAAGCTCTTGTCTACGCCGTGGAAAAGCTCGGCCTTGGAAGGTAAACGTTTTCTTCGTCAGAGGTGGTGGTGTAAGCTCATGTTTCTAGATGGCGTGACGTGAAGCTGTGGGCTTTCGATCAAGCCAAGCACCGGACTTACGTCGACTTGAAGGTGAACACGAAAAAACTCTCGTGGATTTCGAAGTTTTTGAGTCTGTGCTACAAAGTTTCATGGATTTTCATTCTCCAGGACAAGTGGAAGACTCTAGTTCACACGGCACGGATTGCGCCGCACCAACGCAGGGGCGAGCCCGTCCCTCAGGAGCTACTCGAGAGGGTGATACGAGCTCAAAACTACTGGACGGCGAGGCAGGCAAAGCAGCAAGCCGAGCTCGATTTCTAGACATTCTTTCTCCCATTTTGATTTATCTTATATTTCTATACTGCACAGCTCCACAGCTAAACAGCTAAGCTCGCTCGCAAAGTTTTTGCAAGCAGTTGTGCATGCGGTTGTAAGAGGCCGAGCAGCGGTTTAACTGAAACATGCCTTCAACGTCCAAGCATTCCTTCTGTAAACCAAATGGTTTTTTGGTGTTTGTTTGAGTAGACAAAATGCTTTTTCGGATGAAGAAGCTCTAAGATATATTTGCTTGTGTGGTTTTTTGGTGTTTGCACAATCCTTCATCATAGTCTGCGGCCGATTTCAGAGCTCCCAGCTCAGCCAGCTTGTATCCCTTCTCAAATGCTGGTGGCCGATACACATTCGCGTTGAGTGGCAGCAGGATTGGGAGTCCACCTCAATTCTGCCCCTCGCCATTGGTTTGCACAGGCACGTTTCCCATCATAGCCACTGCGTCGTCGAGCTGGTTTGCAAGCACATGAATCATGCAGCCATAATAGGCGTCACGGCAAACTTTGTAACATAGAAAGCTGTCTTCCGTTGCTCTTGGGCCATGGCAAACTGTGTTAAGTTTGAAGGAAGAGAAAGATTTTCAACGCGGCAACTAGTAGATTAGTTCATGACAATGATCCAGATGTTTGATATTACTTTGAAGTCTAAAGCTCCCTTCTTTCTAGTTCTACCAGCAAACACATGCATTGCTGCTAACACAATGCTACTAGAAACGTTAGTCCTGGCACCGTATCTCCATCATTTCAGTGCGCTTGACTCCAGCTTCGAGCACCTGCACAAGTGGTGGCACACTGCACAACCAAGTTTCGTCATCTTTTACCTTGCCCACTTCGGTGAAATGGTCGGCCCAATGCAGCTCTTATCACAGGGTTTCGTAGGAAATAATTCCTCTCATCTCGCCACCTTGATGCCACAGCGCTTCCATGAAGGAGGAACAGGTTCCTTGCCGAGGACACGAATCACTTTTCGAATGTAGCAAACAACCCTAAACTAGCCATAGAGTTTTTCGAACTTCTAACAGCCGCTGCCGGACAGTTTCTCACATTTTCTCATGGTATACACCCTTCATGTCAGCAACAAGGACGGTCGACTCCTCATCTGGGTCCGCGGCCAACAAGGCCGCTGCCGCACTTACAATGTTGTTGTCCCTTTCCCTCATAACGATTTGGAACTCTTCCAGCGATAAACTGGACACTATGAGGAGATCCTCAGGTTGGATCTCGGCCTCCACCACCTCCAGTTTTTGAGATGTAAGCCGCTACCAAAGAAAATAAGAATAAGAAATAATCAACTGTGTTCTACCATACCCTGAAGTGACTGCCTCCAACAAGTGCTACCAGAAAAGTAGGTCCACTCACGGCTATGTGACTTCCCTTGAGTACTATTACATTTGAGTGCAACTCTGGAAGCCACTCATTATCCTGTCAAACACCAAAACATGATCACCAAAATTCCTTTTTTTTTATTGTGCCAATGCTTTCATCTTCATCGTCTGAGTCTGAGTCTCCCTCATTTTTTCTTTCCTCTTTCAATCTTTTCTTCTCTTCCTCAACTTGAATGAGTTCTTGAATTCTTGCTCGAATACCCAGCTTAACTCTGCAACCCACAAGCACACTGCTAGGCACAAACACAATACTACCTGCTGAAAAGAGTCTCTATGGCTTGTGCAACAGTGATGCCACTTGTAAGAGTTTTTTCGTAATAGTTGTTGAACATCTCCAACCGATACAACGCAAGATCTGGGGCCCCTGCATGAATCTCGCGCTTCGATCAGCCTTGTGCGGGTCAAAAAAGAGCTGACTTACATGAATGCCTGGTCCCTCGATGGCCTTCTGACACGATGAAGTGGATCGGCTCGCCATTAACTATTACCTTTTGAAACAGAGTCTACAACACCAAAAATTGGAATTTAAGCAGAGCACAAGAAAAAACTTACAAGATAAGACGCCACAAGTTTATCTACTCGAGCAAAGACGATGCCATCATGGTGCACTTGTGGCCCAAAGCAGCCTGGTTGAGAGTAGAAGCGCTCTCCCCTCGTCACCATAAGCTCTTAATTAGGGCTTCTAAAAAAGGGCGTGGTTTAATAACTCTTAACAATAATGTTTTGTAGCGACCACCAAGTTTTGCCGCTTCTAGCACGATCGTCTGGCTTTCACTGCACCATAGTGAGCTGATTTGCTCCACAGAGTACATCGTAGGCGTGACGTTACCAGATGAAACATGGAAACCCATAGAAAGCTGCTAAGTTTGGGGGACACCGCCAGTCTGGTGCTGAGGCCGAGCTGAGCAACTAGTAGATGAATTCATGACAATGATCCAACTGGGATGTTGGATATTATTTTAAATTCTACCGTGCCAAAGCTAGTTCTATACACTCTTGCTACTAAGACAACGTTACGCTTGTGATCCACTCGGTGCCTGCATTCCAAGCTGTAACCCAGAAATTTGCACTCGACGCTCTTGGCATCAAGCTTTCTTCTCACCTGACCCGGGACATGAGCCCAAGCCTCGCAGCCGAAGATGCGCCAGTGTGCCATATAGGGCTTCCGTCCACACACCAATGATATCTGTGGTCCCATGCAGACGCTTGGACGAGGTTGGTTATCGATATTTTCCTGACATTTATCAATGATTTTTCTCGCTATACGGTGGTGTATTTTCTACGCCTCAATTCTGAAGCGGTACCGCATTTTCTCAAGTTCACAGCTGTAGGCAAGACACAAACTGGGCAGGGTTTGAAACGGCTCAGGTGTGACAGGGGCATCAGGTGAATTCAATCGAGTTTCCCAAGAGGCTGATACATATTGTTCGAGAATTTCACAGCGGCGTATATTCCGGTTGTGCGGAGAGGAAGAATCGCACTCTGCACGAACAGGTTAGTGGCTTACCCAATTCTTTTTGGATCAGCCTGGCTAACTATGTCCAAAATCAGTTCTGCCATGCGGCTGACCAGCTCCATCTTCTCACTACCACACGGAGCATTGTCTTTAGTGTTTTCACTTTCCATTCCTACAGGGTCAGGTGACAATGGATACTTGCGACCGGTGTTTCAACTTGAACAGGCCACGAGATGTCATTGGGTTGACCATCCTTTCCATGGTCACCAAGGTGGGCAAGGCCAAAGATGATCAAGTGCAGGTGCTTGAAGCTGGTGAGCTTTGCTCAGCTCAGTCTCGCAGCCTACCTCCTCCAGAAACTGTGGGAGCTTCTTCATCTGTGGGAGATCCTCCTGACGAGCTTCTAGTGGGCTCTGTCTCCATCATCCTCCTGCTGCCCTGGTTCCTCCAGTGGTGAATGCCGCCCCTATTCCTCCCCTGGATCCCGTTCCTCCGGGTCGTGCTAGGGTTGACGCGGACTCCACGCCGCTCTGACCGCCAGAGGAAGACCAATTCGCCTCATTCGTTTTCACTGTTGGAGAACGTCCTATCCCAGCTCTTACGGTCAAGCCATGGGATTCTCCAGAAGCAAAATTCGGACGAGATGCGTTCGCGGAGGAAGAATAGCACTCCCGTGCTGGTTTCGTCTATTCCTGCCGGGTGTTTTCTTTGAAAGCACACCCTGATGGCACCACTCGTTTCAAGTCACGACTGGTTACAAAAGGAGTCCCTGCAATCCACGAGACTTTTGCATGCAGCAGGGTTACGTATTGCTCTGCAATCTGTATAGCGTGGGATTCAAGCGAAGCCAGTCTGCATCCAATTCGGCCCACCAGATTTCACCATCCTAAGCTTACAGTTGACAACGTATCCCAGCAGCAGTGAATTCCGCGAAACCACGTCTCGGCTCGGCATCTTGTGGAAAACTTTTCGAGCTTCCACCATACTTTCGCAGCGGGTCTACCAGGGAATTTGTCCGAGAGAAAGCCACACTTCACAGACTCCGAGTGGACTTCCTGGACAGCGCCGGCCTTTCTTGTGATAATTCTTTCTGCTCCGCCAGGCTCGCACAAGCCATGAGGGCAGCGACGAGCGTCTGGAACGCACATTCACGTTGCATGAGCGAGAAGAGCATCAAAGCCATAGACTCTGGAATGAAACTCTCAACTTCATGGACAATTCATGAGTATATTATAGAAGATCATCTTGGTCAACACAGTTTTCCATATTCCTCTGGCCACTATCCCAGAACTGGAGACGCTGAGGCATATCGAAAACCACACGTCGCATGCAAATCCACCGGAGTGATCGAACATCCCAACCCTTGGCGAATATTCGGCCTCCATGTTGCTTAGTTTAGGGCAAAGCCGCGGTAGAAGTTTCCACATGTTTGCCAGCGAGTCTTGGTTTTGTCTATGCGGTGTTTGATAGAATAGTTATTGATAGACTGGACTTTTCAAAAGCTAGAGATTGACGAGCCCACATAACACACACATACACACACACAAACGCGCACGGGTGGAAATCCCTTTGGCCGTCAATGTGGATTACGCGCGAGATGCTCCGAAACCGCGTCTTTGGCTCGGCTCGGCTCTCTCTCATGTAAGTAGAGCGTCACTACTCGGGATGGGAATTTGACAAAGGGCGAGGAGAGCTCAAATGTGGATCTGGATGCGTGGATTTATAGAGTGGACTCGTGAGCAGCAAAATTTCTCCACCGCAGGCTTTACAGATTGTCTCTCTTTCTAGGGGTTGGAAAATTAGGTAGAGGATTGCGAGCTGGGAAGGTGAAAAGGAGCGAAAAGGAAAGACACACACACACACACCCATCGCCAATCAATCAATCAATCAAGATCTAGTTCTTACTCGAAAAGGCCAGGCAGGGAAGCTAGAACAGGGGGCCACTCCACGAATTCCCATCTGGGCTCGCGAGATAGGATCGATTCGTTGCGACCCACGTCGCCAAATCCCTCGATCCGCCGACCCAAGTCGCACATTCCCCCAATCTCGGATGTTCTGCTAGATGGGTCTCTTGCCGGTGCTCGTCTACTACGCCTCGGTCTCGCGATCGGGCGGGCGGGCGCTCGCGGAGTACAAGAACCGCTCCTCCTCGCGCGACCTCGCGCCCGTCGTCGTGGAATGCCTCGAGCAGATGCCGCCACTCCACAGCCGATTCACGCTCACCATCAAGCGCCGGATCTTCTCGTGCCTCATGGAGGGCGCCTTCACGTACTGCTGCATCGTGGACGAGGCGCTGGGCAAGAGCGACGCTTTCGCATTCCTGGAAGCCATGCGAGACGAATTCGTCGCGTTTCTCGACTCGCGGGGCCTCCGCAGCGACGGCGAGGGATTGGAGTCCTTCGCGTCGGCCATCAACAAGGAATTCGGCGCCACCATCAAGGTTCTCACGTTGCCCCTCATTGGAGTGCCGCAGAAGGAGATCGATAGCTTGAGAGCTCAGGCCAGTCCGCGCGGCTCGTCCGTACCACCGGCGGCGCCCTCCGTACCATACCGCGCGGATGAGGGCGCCGCGATGACCGACCCGTTGTACAGCGGTAGCGAGCGGTCCGACGGCGGGCCCGAGATGGGGAGGTCGGGTAGCCGAGCTGTCCGCTCGTCACGGCACAAGAGGATGAATGGAAACCTTCACCAGCAGCAGCAGCAGGAGCCCATCCAAGTCCAGCATTTGCTAGCGAATGGTATCGGAGGTGACGAGGAGGATGGTGGCGATGATCGAGGTGGCCGGATCGAGGTGGTGGTGGATCAACCGGGTAACAGCAGCTTCAATGTGACCGCTCCGGCTGGCAACGCGAGGAACAACGAGGCCGGCGACTTGTATCCCCACAGCAAGAGCTTTAGCATCCGGGAGGCCGAGAACAAATGGTGGAGGACTGTCAAGTTGGTGCTGCTGGTGGACGTAGCGGTGTGCATTCTTTTGTTTGTCATCTGGCTGGGAATTTGCCGGGGTTTCGAGTGCGTCCGGTGAGATGAGCTCTTGCTGCAAACAAATACCACTGGATCAGATAAACGAGCACAGTGGAGAGAAAGAACAAAAACAAAAACGAGTTTTACCTGTCAAGGGAGCGATGACGACGAACTTGTTTGTTAAGCTTGTCATCAACTCGGTGGACGGGGCGAACGGATGAACAGCAAGTCAGCTCCATGGTGCGTAGTGTACAAAATTATTCCTTGCACAGCCGGCTGCTGGCTTTTTGCCAGAGTTTTCTTCGGTGGGTTGAGCTGGTCCGGTCTCGGGTCCAAGTTCTCTTTTTGGTTTTTCTTTTCGTAGTGTAGCACGATTCTTTTGAGGGAATTTTAGTCGGTCGATCCGGCTGGCTGTTGGGCACGACCTGGTTGAAACATATCTCGTTTGAACAAGCTCTGGTCGACGTAATAACAGTAGCCAGAAGTTGAATAGAAGAGCTGGTCTGTCGTGCCGGAAAGTCTTTGTTTATCCTCTCCCTCTTTCGACGCCTTCAAATGGCTGACCATGAGCATGTGAGGCGCCATAAGTTTGCGAAAAGGATGATCATCAGACCTTAGATCAGGCGGCATAAACTCCTCGCTGCCTGATTTGTTTCGTCTGGTGGTTTTATGGTGATGTATTGATGATGGATGAATGACAGGTGTGCTCCAATCGATCGCTATCATCCTCGAGCATTGCCACGACAATGCATTCACGTTGCATGACTGATATATAACTTAACCTTCTCTTACACTGATCATCTTCTGTCTGTGCAGCCTCTGCACAAAAAGCGAGCTCTGGATGAGTCGAGATGTCACGGGAATATAAAAAACAAAGAAAAGCGAAATGGTCGTACCAGCATCACAGATTGTGCACGGGTTGTGTGATTTGCTCTCTCGAAAATGATTCCACTTGTCATGCAGCAACAAAATGATTTTCCTTTTACTTTAGTGTTGAGACACAGATACAAATCAGTCAATCAATCGAAATCACGCTAGTGTGCTGTTACAATCTATAGCCGAACGCTCGGATGGAGAAATTTGCGAGCGAGCGAAGCGAGAGAATGTCAATTGCGTGAGCTCAGTTGTCAGACAGAAGCATATAGTGGGACTAGGTGGGCCGAGAAAGCAAAGAGCGAGGGAGGCATACAACTCTCTGAAAACTTTACCAAAATGCATAGACAGTCAACCAGCCTACACTCAAGCCCGCAACCACCACTAGATCTAAAGCTTAAGAAATTCTAGATTTCACCATCCACAAATGGTAGTTTATGTGTCGTGGTGGTCCAGAACTTCCTGTAGCTCTTTCCGCCAGTGGACTAATCCGAAGTTTAGGAAGAAAAACAATACCTGAGTTAAGGCAGTAGCTTCCATTTTCCCAGATGTGTCCAAGAACCAGCCAGACGCAAACAGCTTGCCAACCAGCCTGTGCAACAAACACCCTTATTAAAATCGCAAAGAAAGAGTGAAGACACCAGGATAAAAAAGAAAGACGAAGCTTTACCAAGTTGCGCTTTGTTTTGTGATCTGCCAGCGGGATTAGTGCGGCAGTGCTGCATTGAAAAAAGGAGTCCTAACCAAAACGCTTTGAACTGTTCAAAAACTTCAAAGCTTACCAAACGAATCTGTCCAGCTTTTGTAGTATGTAGTGCTCACCACTGCACGATCGATCGTCGTTGATGGGAGCCATGCTTCCTCGGATTCGCTTTGGATCACTGTTTTGATTCTAAACAAAGACGTGTGCGTAACAAGCGAGGAGGGACCCCCCCTCCCGAAAAGAAAACAGCAACACCCTGGAAAGCACCGCATGCTTCCTATGACAAAAATCTCGCTTCTCCCTCAGCGAAGAAAAGAAGAAAAACTCGTGAAAGTTTCTCGCTTTCCTACCATCCACCAACAAAAGAAAAAAAACGTATATGAGAAGTCGGATCGAGAAGAACTAGTTAGCGTAGACAAATGGTGTGCTTACCGCGACAAGAGTGGAAGTTAAGACGTAGCTCCAGCTGTGGGCCTCCTCTCCTTGATCACCAGGAATCGTGGCAACAATGCTAAGTGTAGTGAGCTCGAAGCAGCTCGAAAGAAATGGCCTACCTCCTCGTCTCGCGTCCTCCATAAAGGAAGAGGACAACGCAAAACTCGAGCTCTTTGACATCTCACCAGCAAGAGCAGCACCAGCACTACCTTCGAATTTAAGTCCTTGCTCTCGCAGTCACAGTCTGGTAGCTAGCGCGTACATTTTCAGATACTTTTCCATCGCATCATCATGCCTGGAAGAAAACACCACAACAAAAAACAATCGCATAAGCTCAGAGAGCTTTGCAGAGCGTTAGAACCGCGTTAGTCGAGGAGAGTAAAAGCAAATCCAGAGAGAGCAACTAAAACGCAATGAGATTATTCACAAACCAGTGGCCACTGAGAGAGATAGTTTTTTTTCTCCAAGAAATGGGGAGTAGCAAGCAACGCTCTCTCCTCTTGGCAAACTTTTTACAACTTGAGCCTCGAAAAAATACAGGATACCGAGAGCAGGAATCCAGTCTTATTTTGTGGCATACCCCCAGCGTTTCTCCTGTCTATCCATGAAGATAGATAGCATTTTCTACACACGCGTCCTGCTGCTGCTGCTTGAGTTCCTGAGAATGCTACCAAAGGAACTCTTCCGCTTATGCCAGAGTGATGTCTGTCCACTGTCCATCCTTTTTTTTTTTTCTTTTTTCTTTCCCAGAGTGCCGATCCACCATCTTTCCCTGCTTCTTTTTATGTTTTCCTGGTTCTTTTTCTTCTTCTCCTGCTGCAAATCCCGGGGAAGAATCGCTGAGGAGTAACTCCAGCCTGCTCTTCTACAGCCCTCTAAAAAAATATGAAGCGGCCTAGCGCTTGTGCACCTGTAATTACATTTGCGATGAACCATCACTTGAGTAGTGAGAAGAGGAGCCTGCGAACTTCAAAGGAGTGATCACCACCATCTGTGTCTTCGCAGCGTCGGTCGATCGGAAGAATTGCAAGATCATTGTAAACTGCAACTGCAACCTTGAGAAGAGAAAAATCCAACCCCGGTTCCAACTCTGCTGGACGAGCTCGAGAACTTTAAATTCCAAAACGAAGTGACCTTGATGATGTTGCTCACTCCCCCGCTCAAGGATGACACGTACTACCAACCAATGCATTTAATTGGAGATTCTCCACTAAAATTTGCGGACCAGTTGCTGTTGTGTCCTGCAAAGAAGCCCAGCGAAGTGATTAAAGTTGAGATGCTGCATTGTCAAAAAGAGCTAACCACCAACTTACCTTACCCCAGGTCCCCTGACTAAAAATGTAGCAACTGGCGAATGCTTTGCGTGATGCCAAATCCTGCAGCCACCAGACCGAAAATAAAATCAAAACTCCACATCGAAAGTTCACGGGAAAGCTTTTAGAACTTACCGCTTTGTTTTGATCTCGTCTCAAACAGCCCTCTCCCACGCTTGCTCTTCGGGCTGCCAGCACCGCGTACAACCTCCTTGGGATCCTTGGTCTCTGCTGGTGGTATCGTCAGAACTTTGCTGATGCCTTGTATGGAGATGTGGCCATCTGTGAAGATATCGTGATCGTAAAGTAGCGCGCCACTTTCCCCCTCACCAAACTGGACAGTTCCATCTGTTTCCTTGGCGTGGATCGTATGCGGCTGCCATAGCGTGAGGAACTTCACCTTCTCAAACCTTCTCACCGCGTTGTAGAGACTCTCCTCGGTCTGGTACTCCGTGAGGACATGGTACATGAGAATCGCCTCCAATCCCCCGGGGGCGTTGAGCTGCTCGGTGGTGAGATGGTCCATGGCATGATCGTTGGGCGCCAAGAGCGTCAATCTGTGCCCCTCGTTCACCAGCTTGGCCATGTCCCAGGCAAACGATGTCAAATTCACCAGTAGCTCCGCCATCTCGCTGTAACCCCCAAAATTCGCCAATGTCGATACGAAGTCGTCCACGTCTTCCCAAGTGTAGACCCGGTGCTTGCCGGAAGATGGTCCCGGAGCTGGGGCCGGGGCGACCTCGGGGGCGTAAGCAAACTCGAGTGGTAGTGGCGACTCGGCGGCCTCGAGGAAATCCTGGAACTCCTTGCTCATCTCCGCCAGACTCGCCCCCAGTGGATCAAACTCTGGCGATGCCTGTGGCAGTAGTGCATTCGCGCTGCTGCCCAGCTTCTTCACCGAGAACGCCTCCTGGACCGATCTGGGCACCAGCAATCCATTCACCCCGTGGACGACTCCATCCTTCTTGTTGATATCATTGGGGCTGGTCACCTCGGACAGCTCCACCCGGTTGATCCCGCGGTGGGAATGGATGCGCACGGTCTCCGTGGAGAGTGTTCTCACCGTCCGGTTGCTCCAATCTTCCGACATTATCTTCCCGGGGACGATGTGGTGCTTGAGAACCTGGCGCAAGTGCTTGATGTTCCCGGGCTCGAGGAGGAAATGCTTGAATTCGCTGTCCACCTGTTGCTCCATGTAAGCGTTCCTGGGAGCGAAGATTGTGATGCTGCCCTTCCCTACGACTTTCTCCAGCGGCTCCAGCATCCCTGCGTGCCCCATGAGCTCCATGAGCTCCGTGTACTGGGATTCCATGAGCGCCGCCAGGACGGAGCTGGAGCTGGAACCCTTGGACGAGATTTTGGGCAAAGAATCCCCGGAGGAGGAGGAATGTGGAATGGAGGACGAGATTACCGTGCTAGGATCTGCTCGCGGACGATTCAACGGCGATCTTGGGCCTAGATCTGGGCTGGCCTGCTTCTTGTGCGTATTCCGCGACGAAATCTCGCGATCGTGCACGGCGCGCGATGGGATCGCTGGCGCCGCGCGCAATGCTGGAGTCGTGATCATCCACAGAAGCAAGAACAATCGCCAATCCATGGCTGCGTGCTGCCGATCTATCGAAATCTATGCGTGAGGTGCTCCACCTTGCCCTGCCTTGCTCGTCGATGGCGCGCCTATACTACCTCTATACTTGACGTCTCTAGCTCCGTCTCATTAACAGTTGCCGTCTGTCCGATCTGCCACGTGGGCCCATCGCAGCCGTTGCCGGCCGTGAAGGTTCGATTCCGGCTGGTGCGGGGGACCTTTCGTTTCAAGCCAAGGGTCAAGATCGATGCATCTGCTCTGGTGGCCAAATCATAGCCGTCAAACCCACGCACACGCTTTCGTCCAGCTGGCCGCTTACTCCCATCCGACGGACTAGATCCTGCCAGCCTGGACGGCTGTTAATATCGTTAAGTAAGAAATGTAAAAATTGTGGCGCGTAAGCAACTCTTTCTGTTTCGCGGCAAAAACACTAAAAAATTTCATCCCCACGCGGTAAAAATCTCGTCCCCAACTTGCTCCAAAATTTTCACCTTGCGGCTCTTACAGTCCACATGAATCCTCTGCAACGCTTCGTGCCAGGACCGGATTCAAGAAAAAAAAACACATTTACTCCACACCGGTTTGGATAAAACGGCGTGGCGTCCGCCAGCGAACAATTGCCTCTCCACCAACCATGCAGTCGGACAGCATTCCATAAATTTTACCAGAATCCTATGGTTGGGTAAAACCCAAGGCATCAAGCGGCGAATATTCTGATTTAAATGGTTGAATCTCCGTCCAGGCTGTGCAGCACAGCACTGCGCCCACTTTAATCCAGGAAATTCTTTTTGGGAGCATCTAAAGCATGGAAAGCTGGATCGACGGCCCGGATTGCCCGATGCGGGAGTGTCGGTGGAAGAGTTTGTCGAGAAGACCATCGCCAAACAGTTGAACTGCGTCTAGCTTTGCCGTGCAATGTGCTCGTAAAAGAAACGAGTGACGGTGCCAGTCCAACCAGGGAAGATTCGAAGGATCTAGCAATGGGGGAATATTCATCTCGTACAAGAGAATGTGAGTGCATATTCTTGTCGTACAAGGGACCATGCCCGCCACCTTTAAGGCCACGTTGTAAACTCGAAAACTTTGGCGACGATCTCGAGTCCTGTGGGGATTTGCGACGCAAAGAGGAGGAGATTTGCAACGTTGAGCGCGATGTGAAGATTTCTGGCGGTCTCGTTGCCCTTTTGCATCGCCGGGACGAGCGAGGCGGCGAGAGCCCACAGCACAGTGATCGCTGCGAAGAGAAAACGAGGAAGGAAAATCGATCGATCAAATGGCAGTGTGCTTAGACGAGAGAAGCTTACCAGCGCCGCTAAACAAATGAGGCCCCGGGAAGAGCTTCCCAGAGCGAAACCACGTATTGACGCAGCCACCCACGGCTTCGGTCACTCCAAATCCCAGGAGGATGGATCCAGCGTTGAAATGCCTGTCGCGAAATCCACCCTTGACGAGTTCTTTCCTTACCTGGAATTGGAAAGCAACAAGAAACCAACCAAGTCAGAAAGAAAAAAAGCGACAACCATAGAAATCCAAGGCTTGATGTCACTGTTACGTACCTCGGTGAGTTTCTCGATCTTTCGCTCGATCTCCGAGGGCGGAGAGTTCTCCTCTCGGGGCTTGACTTGCTTCTTGAGCTCCGTGACCTCCGCTTGGATGGTTCTCACTTGTCTCCATTGCCACCCCAAGTAGCCAGCCCAGATCGTGTAGGCAAACAATCCTCCCATGACGATCGGGTGAAGTAGAGCGAACGAGCGTCCTTCCAGGATGCCAAATTGTCCATCCACAGCCAAAGCAGCCTAGGAAGCAAAAAAGCTCTCCAAGTTAGAACGAACCAAGAACAAAGATGGAAGGCTAATCTCTCGAGAACTTCCAAGGAATTCTTACCTCTGGAAGGAAGAGCACGGGAGCAGCGGTCGCGGCCGACGAGACGATCGACCACCAGCATCGTCCACTTGAGAACAAATCCCTGTTGTGTTCTTGGCGTTCTTGGCGATCGGCACGATCAATCCCCTGCCCCGCATTCCCGCTGCCGCCATACCTGCATTGAATCCCACGCCGTGGACATCGCCCCAGCCCGCGAGGAGGAAGCACCAAGAGTAGCGAGCCGCCGCTCAACACCGCCATAGCTGCGATGATCCTCCCCTCCGCTCCACTCGTTGCCCAAATCGCTCCGGATTAGCTTAGCGCCGTGCTTAGCCGTGAGAGATTCCATGTGGCGGGCACGCGCCTCGCGGCGATCGATCGCGCCACGGATGGAAGAACCCTAAAATCCGATCAATAGTATAGACAATAGGAAAAATTTACACGAGAGATTTCGCGGTTGATCGAGGATCTTTCACTGCAATCGCCGGATCCACTGCGAGGTCGACGACAGCGACAATTCGTGGAGCTCGTTGAGAATCCAGTCCTCGCCAGTGTGCCCGCCAAGAACCACCGCTCTCGTTCCTCCGACGAAGCAGGTGCTATGCCCCCACGCAAACTTTGGCTTCTGTCCTGGAACGTTGAGCATCCTCCAAGTCGGCTTCTCCTCGCTGGGATCCAGCAGATAGATCTGCGACGCCGAGTGGAGCCCCGCGATGGATCCACCAAAGATGAGGATCCTGCCACCGGGAAGAGTCACCGCGACGTGATCCAGCCGCGGCGGCGGCGTGGTTCCTCCGATGTTTGCTCCACCTGGTAGTGTGCTCCCTGTCACGTACTTCCAAGTCGGCTCCTCCTCTCCAAGATCGATCGTGAAAGCGTCGCTGGAGCGGAACCTCAGCGGCCCGCTCTTGGCCAGACCACCGAAGAGAAGGATCTTCCGACCACCGTAGGCACTGAGAGAGTGTCCGAGCCGCGATGGTGGCGTCCAAGCCACCGGGATCTCCCTCCACATCGGCTTCTCTTTCGAGATGTCGAGCATGTAAGTGTCGCTGAGCAGCACCCCCGAGTCGGCACATCCGCCATACACGACCAGCTGCGTGCCATCCAGCGTACACGAGCTGTGCCACGAACGAGGAACCGGGGGCCCGACTCCGGCTACTTCTCTCCAGCTCGGCTGCTTGGCGTCCAAGTCGAGCACGAACACATCGTTGAGGAGTCCCTGCCTGCCGCATCCGCCGAAGACCACCAGCCAGGATCCATTGAGGCACGAGAGTGTGTGTCCCCATCTCCCCGGAGGAGCCGAGCCAACGTCGACGTGCCGCCACTCGGGACAAGCAGCGCTCAAGTCGAGCACGAAGGTGTCGTTCATCGGCTGCATGTTGACGCCTTCGCCTCCGAACAGTACCACCTTGTTCCCGACCGCGCAAGCGCTGAAGTTACACCGCGATGGCTCCACCGCCCCGCCAACTTTGAGCTTCCTCCACGCTGCGGCTTCCAGCGTCGTCAGCTCCCTGGCCAGCTTTCCCCAGTCTATGCTTCTTGGATTGTGGACTCGCTCGAGCACCGCGGTCGTCTCTCGGCCCCAGGCATTGCGGCAAACCAGCCTCCACAAGTCGGTGTTCTTGGTCATCTCGTTGAATCGCCGGCACACCAGAGCGACCGAGGAGACGTCCCTTGGAGTGAGCTGCGCGAGGATTTTCTGTACCAGGACCTCGTCGCTGAGTCTCAAGATCCCACACCTGTCTTTGGAAGACTGTCCCGGGCCGACTGGCGACGAGGCGTACGAGTAGCCATCGTCGAGCAAATGCCTTCTTACGAGCCAATGTTGCGAGGACTGGTTTCTCCAGAGAGGTGGCGGAAGAGGGCCGAGGTCGAGCTTTACTTCCGAGAAGGATTGTATCCCGATGATGTGAGTGATCCTTCCATCTTCCCCACGTATCGGTTTGAGGCAGAGCTTGTTCATCAGCGGGGTTCCATCTTTGCGGAAGTTGAGAAGCTCCCCCCAGAATTCGATGCCTTCTCCCACGCATCGCCTTATCTCGGTCACAGTCGCGGAGTCGACGAGAGGATGCCTTCTTTGCGCGAAAGGACCTCTAAACTGGAGAAACCGGCTGCCAAGAGTCCAAAACGTTTTCTTTCGAGCACGAGAAGAAGAAAAATCGAGAAAAGCTTACCAGTTTCTTCCAAGAACTTCCTCGGCTTTGTAACCAGTGATAAACTCGAAAATGTTGTTCACGTAGATTATCGGGAAATCGACATCCAGCGCGTCCGTGACAACCACACTGCAAGGCCCGAGCATTTCCAGGCGCTGGAACACCGACGCGTCGAATCCAAAGAGCGATAGATTTGGAGCCGTGGTGTTGTGTGCCTCGAATTGGAATCCAGCATCGGCGTCGCCATAGCTCCCCAAGCTGCTGCTATTGTCGCTGTCTAATTCCACATCCACATCCATCGGCTTACCTCACAGGCCTAGACCCCCGCCGGGACGAGATTGCAATTGCGATGCGCCATAGCCAGGAAGCTCCCGGCCATAAACCCTAGCCTGGGAAACGCACACCACACCACACTTCACTGGCTACAGTGGAGGAGCGAGATATTTTTTTGGCGCCAAGGACGAACCGTGTCGCAATCTCAGCCGTCCGATTTTAAAAAATTTGCGAAAAAGAGAAAAGGGGAGAGAGAAAAGTCTAAAAGGTGAAAGCAAACGAGCAACAAAATCTACACTATTTGCGAAAAAAAGGACAATCCATTTAAAAGGTAAAAGGAAGGAGCAACAAAATTTACAGTGTTTGCAGTGAACCATATAACTATGGATTCTAGTTGTTACCATTCTTACCGCCGGCATGACCATGGTGACCACTGCCACCGCCGCCTCCTCCCCAGCCACCGCCGCCACCGCCACCGCCACGGCCGCCGCCGTGGCCGCCCCATCCGCCACCACCACGGCCGCCACCCCACCCTCCGCCACCACCGTGACCACCCCATCCACCGCCACCGCCACATCCGTGATGTCCACACCCGCCGCCACCCCACTGCGCGGTGGTCTTGCCACCATGCTCGTCCCGCGCCTCCTCGCGAGTAGCGGTGGTGGCGGTACTAGCGCTCTTGGAGTTGGAGCTCTCCTCTTTGGCGAGCGCGGAGATGGAGGAGCTAACGAGCAAGACTAGAAGAAGGAAGACTAGCCCCATTCGCGGAAAGGAGAAGGAAGCCATGGCTGGTGCTAGAGAAGAGTGTGGAGCGTCTCGGGGTTTTAAAGGGCCCTGGAACTTTCCCGCGAGGGTGATGGTCGATTTCCATCCCGGGAAAGTTTGGGTCAACTATGGTCAATTCAGTCAACTCTCGCCACATAGCCTGGTGTGCATCTGTCTTGTCTCTAAATAAGAGCCTTGGACGTTGGGCTTGGATTATGGATCTAAGTTAAGAGTCTTCAAATCCAAGTAGTTTTTCCATGGAGTTGTGGTTTTGTGCACGATCACCACCACCATTGTACCACGGAACTCTCTATTTGGAAGAAAGGCTCGATTTTCTTCAAGTTTCCATGAGAATATATAAAGATCCTTGCATTCCTTTGCCTCAAACCCATCCTTCACCCATCCATCTCTCTTCTCTTCGTAGCAATGGCTTCTCGTCGTTGCAATCTCTCCATAAGTTTGGCGCTCTTTGGAATCCTCCTGATCACTGGTTCCACTTCCACGCTTGCTTGAGTGCTCAAGGAAAAGGAAGATGGTGGCAAGCTTAATCCATGGAGGCTGGGGTCACCACCGTCACGACACGACTACTGGTGTTGGCAATGTAGATCATGGTGACAATACTACGACTGGCTGGCATGATCACGGGTGCCACCATGGTCACGATTGTAACACTGGCAATGGTGATGATACTACGGATAGCCATGGGGGCCATGATTCTACTACTGGCAATGTGGATCATGGTAACGATACTATGACTGGCTGGCATGGCCATGGTGGTCACAGGGGTTATCACAGTCACGATTCTACTATTGGCAATGTAAATGGCTGGCATGGTCACGGTGGTCACGTCCCAACGTTGGTCACAATTCCACCACTGGCGGTGGCATGGTCATGGATGTCATGGTCGTGCTACTGCCAACGTTGTTACCACTGGCACCTTGGATGGCTGGCATGATCAATGGTCATGATTGTGCTACTGCCAACGTGGCTATCACTGGCACCGTGGATGGCTGGCATGGTCACGATTGTAACGCAGACGGCTGGCATGGCCACGGTGGTCACCACCACGATTCTACTACTGGCAATGTAGACGGCTGGCACGGCCACAGTGGTCATGGAGGTCACCATGGTCACGATACCACTGCTGGGTACCACGGGGGCCACCATGGTACCGGTAACAGTAACTAGAAGCTCTATCCTGTTGTGCATAGAGCTAATCCAAATGAATAAATGAGTGAAAACCCTGGTGTGTTGATCAGCATGGAAATTCGTTAGCGTGTTTGTCTTTTGAGATTTTCCTGGGTCAGGTTCTCTTCTTCGCCGTGATCTTACTCTTGCGATTCAAAGCACGGGAAGCCGGCTGGGAGCTCAAGCCGCGGTTCCTTGCACAGGCGTTGCGTGGTCAAGGCGAGCGAGTAGCCAAGCGCTCGAGCAACCGGCATAGCGACTGCGTTTCCAACTTGGATGTACCTGTGGTCGAAGGGAGTGATACTGATCCCGCAAGAGAAAATCACACTTACCTCTCCTTTACACTTCCTGTGAGCTTATACCAGTCGGGAAAGCCTTGCAGGCGAGCGTTCTCCCGGACTGTTAGCACTCTATCCTGCGTCGGGTGCAACATTCTCTGGAAAAGCACGCGCATTTCGATTGAGGAGACTAAACTTTTTATAAAGCTCACATGGTTGTGCGGCTCAGCTCGTGTGATTACTGTTGGTACAGTCTCGTCCCACCACATCCTCGCAAATGGCCTAGAGTTTTCAAAATATTGGTATGGTTTCAAACACACAGCAAGACTTACTTGAGTGATCTCCCTTTAATGAAAGAGATCGCATAGTCCGGTATCTAGGAAAGGAAACGAGAGGTGAGAGCAAATATCAGACTTAAAATTACCAGTGGTTTTCCAGACGGCAAATACTCTCTTTCCACCGTCAAATCCAGCGTTACTGAATTGTCGTCCTTGATTTTCAGTCCACCTAAATCTCGAAAATTGGCTCCCTGAACAGCGCATTTGTCTTGCAAGTAGCAGATGAAATACGAACCAATTACCTTCCGTTTTGGTATTCTACAAGCTCGTTGGTAATCGTCGTCGTTTAGTCGTAATGGCCGGTGATCATGCACCGTTGAATTCATCGCCCGGGGTCCCCGACCGTAAAATACTGTAAAATCTCGAAGTAGCAAACGTTTGTTGCAAGTTTCAGAAAATAGAGCCTCACCATCTCTGGCGCTTCTAATACGTGTTTGGAATTCGGTTTTCGGCCCGTCTCTATACGGGATCTCGTCCCTTGTCTCACAATTTTTCACCTGGAGCAAGAAAGACTTTCAGAAAACGTAGAAGTTTTTGACAAAGACTTACAGGAGGCAGATCAGATATGGAATCTCCTAGAAACAGTGCTTTCTCAAGTTGCCGCTCGCCAATGTGCTTTACAACGTTCCGCTGCACAACCACGTCACAATAGTAAAAAAGGTGTTTCAACAACAAGCCAAGGCCCCTTACTGAAAATTGGTTGGGAACATTTCCTTTGTAAATTGCATCGTGCGATGGAAGAGGAAATGCTGGTAGCATCTGTGAAAAGACGTTATCAAGCCGCAAAACTAGATAAAGTAAAGCATACTTCCGACGGAGCCGCGCCCCAGAGAAACACACGCATCCTAAACTGTGGTAGTCCATACGATCCAGCAGCCATCATACCAAGTTTTGCCTGGAGAATCAAGGAATTAACAAGCCCCACAAAAAACAAAGGAAAACGAACCTGGTAACGCATATCCACTAGGCGGAACATGGCATACCTGCCAAGAAGGCCTTGCTGGAATTTCAATATATCGACAACGTTCTCCATCAAAACGAACTTCGGCCTCAAGAAACCTACGATGTCCATGAAAATAACCATCTGACGATTACGAGGGCAAGTAAGAGGAGCCTCAGTGTTTCGAAAACGATTGTATCCACTGGCCCCTTGGCAAGGAGGGCCTCCGCACACCATGTCAACGTCTCCCTGGTCGTGACAAAACCTTACAAACTGCAAGCGATAAAATATCCACTTTACCGGCAGAGGCAAGATACGACGTCTCCTTCCTTCCAGTACAAAGTCACGAATACGTTCTTGGCAGGAGCTGCAAGAAGCGGCCTATGATAGTGCGCCACCGAAAAAACATACTACTTACTCAAGGTGATCTACAGGTTCCCAGGTATCGTGATCACTAGTATAGCCTTTCCAGCGTACCTGCATGACGAAGTGTTCGTTACATCCGACAGAAAACCTTTGCCCACCTTGAACTCAAGTCGTCTTTTGATTGGCTTCTCAGGCATTTTGGACGACGTGTCTGGCTTTTTTGGCTTCTGAATCCCTGCCATGCGAATATCAACTACCTGCTGAACTTCGTATTCATCAGCGGCATATTCATCTGCGCCAAGCGTGTTGCTATCAGGGCTACTCGCGTTTGAATTGTCATCCGCTACATGCCCTTCGTATTTCGTACAGAGCTTTTGCCACTCTTTCAGTAAAAGGAGAAAACATTCGGCGTCCTCGTTGCGGACCTATACAAGGAAGAAAACTGAGTGAAGTAATTACCTTCATTTTCAGTAAAATGCACCTCGGTTTCTGGATGATTATACTTCATGCTGTTGCATGCGTGTTCATTGTAATCTACGGCCCATTTCTACATGCACAAACAGATATTACCAGAAGTCGCGATACAATCCACTACACTTACAGTTACAAGATTGACACCTCCCAATGCCGCTCCCATAGACAGCCCCGTTGACATGGCCCCACAACCGCAGTACAAATCCAGCAATATCAATTCCGGCTTGATAGTATCGCTGCATCTAGTTACAGCAGTCTGAAAACTGGAACTCGCGTCTTCAAGAGCATCGCTATCTGAGGTTGCCAGTTTACGTAGAAAAAACAAAAACATTACCTGAGGGCACCTTGTAAAACGTCGAGAAGTCACCAGTATAACCCATGTCAAAATAGTAATCGCAACTTTGTTTGATCTTTTTTTTCGAAAATGCATCCTGTAAAAGCTTCAATTAGCAGCGGTCAAGCATCTCGTAAAGGCTTACCATAACCGGCGCGTATGACACTTTTACTTTTTTAATGATACACTCTATCATGTTGTCATCCTCATCGTCTGACAGAAACACCCTTTTATTGTCAAGGTGAACATCGTCGAGATCTCCTATGGCCTGCAGAGAACATTTACAATCCGGGTATCCGCAGAGACGCAAACATACCGTATCAGAAAATCGGAAAAACCATTGAACCCGAAACCAGTTTTCCTGGTTAGCTGTTTTGAAAAACTCAAGCACCTTCCCAAGGTACTCCGCGTCGTCACCCTGTAACTGGTTGATTACAAAGAAGCTGCAAATGAAAGACTGTACCTCTAACGCAACGCAATCGCCAACTTTGTAATGCTTCCCGTCGACCACAGCTTCCTCGTAATGTTCCACGCATTTTTGAGAGCCGGCTCCTGCACTCTGCTGCGTCTAGCAGGTCAGACAAAGATGCAACCACTTAAAAAGCCTTTACCTTGTCATACCGATTAGGCCACTGCCTCTTAGCTCGAGCAGCAGGAATTGGCTTGCCAACAAAGTGGGCCTTGACAGCGAGCTTATGACCCTTTCTGGGACACGCGACGAGAGCCGCGGAAGGAGAGTCCTCCTCGTCATCGTCGTCGGACTCCACAAGGATAGGCTCTTGAGCAAAGTCGTCATCGTCCGGTGAAGGAGGTGGTGGGAGTGGTTGCTTCTTTGGGCCGAAACTCTTCCTGGGCTTGGGCTTGGGCTTGGGGTTTGGTCCAGGATCCTTACGTTGGACAGACTTTCCAGCCTTCTTGTCAACCTTCTTTCCAATATCTTCTTCACGCACCACTGCCGAAGGACTCAATTGATCCTCTTCCGACGAATCCAAAACCACAATGCAGTCACCACTGGGACGTTGTGGACATGGGTCTTCCTTCGCAGCAACATCTTCTTCCTTCACGGTGCCAGAAGAAGTGGCACTTGCTCGTCGAGGCCCAGATTTTTTTCTAGACCTCGCACTACCTGTGCCAACCTTGGCCATAGAGGCTGGAGTTTCTTCCCTCGACCCCATGCCTTCTGGGGATGGATCCCGGAGCTCGTTTTGTATGTCTTTCATGGCTCTTCGATTCACATCCTCCAGAGAGATTCGTTTAAGCTTCCTGGGCTTGGATGGCTGTTGGGACCTCTCGGGTGACACAGTAGCAGCGGAAGCGGTGACGGCCGGGGTAGCGAGTTTCCTCTTCCTGGATTTAACCCGCGTTGCGACGCTCCGCTGCTCGGCTGGAGGAGAGAAGACTTTCCCGCTAGCGTCGTCGTCGTCATCGGAGGAGCTGAGCACGATGGCGTCCACGAAATCGTCATTGTCGCTGCGAATGACACTAGCAGCAGCAGTCATCGCCGCTGCCTGCAAACCCTACCTCCAAGCGCCACAGCCTCCGGCCAGTAGAAAGAAAACTTTCTCCAGCTACCAAGCACCTGGATCCATCGCCGCAGGAGCTCCCCTCTCTTCCGCCCGCGCTGGAGCCCTAGCCTAGCGCGCGCCACTGCTCCTCCCGCCCATCGCTAAGATTTCGAATTGTCAGTGCCACCAAATCTTGCCCGTCCATTTCCCGTACACCATCGGAGCCGTCGAATTTATGCTGACGTGTACTCATGTAAGTGGCGACACGTCATGACAATGCCACGTCACGTTGATGATTTAGGGTTTATGGCCTCCTCTATTAGGCGGGCAACCACGAAGTGGTTGTCCCCGGTGCTGGAATGCGGCGGCGTCGATGCGATCCGCGAGGCCGTGGATCTGCTAGAGCAATCTGGCGCCGCCGGCGGCAGTGGAGATCTAGAGCAGCTCATTCGCCGCTGCGCGGGCGCCAAGGCGCTGGAGGAAGGCCGGAGGATCCACCGGTGGATGGATTCAGGTACGCTGGACAGGCCTAGATTTCTCTCCAATCTCCTTGTGGACATGTATGGCAAATGCGGCAGCTTGGTGGAAGCTAAGCGCGTGTTTGATGCCATGCAGCACAAGAATGTCTTCTCTTGGACGATGCTCATGGCTGGATTTGTGCAGAGCGGGCGTGGAGTGGAGGCGATCCAGCTCTTCCACCTGATGTGCCAAGAAGGGGAGCTCCCTGACCGAGTAGCGCTGCTCAAGTTCATCGATTCGTGTGGAGCCGCCAGGGCACTCTCGCAAGGAAGAGGTATTCACTCGCTACTCTCAGATCACACGGAGTTTGCGACGGACGTGATGATCAACAATAGCTTGATCAGCATGTATGGGAAGTTCCAGGAGCTAGAAGAGGCGAAGCTCGTCTTCGATGCAATGAGAAGGCGCGACATCGTCTCCTGGAACGCCATGATCGCGGCATACGCACAGAATGGGTATAACAGGCAGGCTGTGGAGATCTTCGACGAGCTGGAGAGACAGGGAGGGGTGATGCCGGATAGAGTGACTTTCATCAGCACGCTGGATGCTTGTGCTGGGCTTGACGAGGAGGAAGGCTTGGCTAGAGGCAGGGACGTCCACTCCAAGATCAACGAGTTCCGGCTGGATGTAGATGGATCTCTCGCGACAACTCTCGTCAACATGTATGGGAGGTGTGGAAGTTTTGCCGAGGCCAAGGCCATCTTTGACAAGATGAAGAGGAGGGACTTGATATGCTGGAACTCCATGCTGAGCATCTACGTCAACTGTGGCCTCGCGAGATCGGCCATCCAGCTCTTCCAGGAGATGGATCAGTGCGGCGTGCTTCCGGCCAACATGACGTTCGTCGCTGCTCTAGACGCTTGCTCCAGCTTGGAAGCTCTCAAGCTGGGGAGAGAGATCCACTCGGCTGCTGCTTCGTGCGGCATGGATTCGGACTTGGTCACCGCCAACGCCATCATCAACATGTATGGCAAGTGTGGAAGCATCGGGGAGGCCTTTGCCATGTTTACGAGGATGCCGGAGAAGAACGTTATCAGCTGGAGCACGATGATCGCGGCCTTTTGCCAGAACGAGCTTGCGGACGAGGCCCTCCTCTTCTTCAAGCTCATGCAACAGGAAGGGATGGAGCTGGACAGGATAACTTACGTCAGTGTTCTAGACGCCTACACCAGCGTGGGAGCTCTGGAGCTCGGCAAAGCTCTTCACGTCAGGATCGTCTACGCGGGGCTGGACACTTCCATCGTTGTTGGCAACACACTCGTCAACATGTATGGCAAGTGTGGAAGCCCCGACGATGCCAGGGACGTGTTTGACAGCATGGTGGAGAAGAATGTGGTCTCCTGGAACGCGATGCTAGCAGCTTACGGCCAGAACGGAAGATCGAGAGAAGCTCTGGCCTTGTTCGACAGCATGGACGTGAAGCCGGACAGGATCACATTTATAAGCGTGCTGGACGCCTGTGCCAGTGCTGCAGCAGGGGACCGAGGGAAGCAAATCCACGCTACGGTGAACTCCACGGCTCTGGGACTGGACGCTGGCATCCAGAACGCGCTCGTTCACATGTATGGCAAGTGCGGCAACTTGGCAGAAGCTCGGCGGATCTTCGACTACATGGACTCCAAGAGCGTCGTCTCGTGGACGTCGATGATGACCAGCTACGCCCAGAACGGCCTCGTCAAGGAATCGCTCCGGCTAGCGCTGCAAATGAAGCTGGAAGGCATGAGGCCGAACGACATCACCTTCGTCACCATCCTCTACTGTTGCAGCCACTCTGGGAAGTTCAAGGACGCCGTGAGCCACTTCGTGGAGATGAGGCAGGACTTCGGCATCACTCCCAGGGAGGCACACTTTGGATGCTTGATCGACATGCTTGGGCGGTCCGGGAAGCTCGAAGAGGCCGAGGAGCTGATACAAGCCATGCCGATTCCAGCCGACGCTGTGCTCTGGACATCGCTGCTCTGCGCCTGTGTGACGCACAAGGACGAAGATCGAGCTGCCCGAGCGGCGGAGGAGGCGTTCCAGCGAGAGCCCAAGTGTGCCGCGGCCTACATCATGCTCTCCAACCTCTACGCGGCGCTCAAGAAGTGGGACGAGGCTGCCAAGGTGAGGAAGAGGATGGAGCAAGCCGGGGTGAGGAAGCAGGCTGGGCGGAGCTGGATCGAGATCGACAAACAGGTGCACGAGTTCGTGGCCGGGGACTCGATCCATCCGGACAAGTCTCGCATCTTCAAGACGCTGCAGAGGCTGATGTCGGAGATGAGGATCAAGGGGTACGAGCCGGATCGAAAGGTGGTGATCCACAGCATGGAAGAGGAGGAGAAGGACGAGGTGCTGTTCTATCACAGCGAGAAGCTGGCGGTGGCGTTTGGGATTGCCAGCACGCCACCCAGGACGCCGCTGTGCATCGTCGAGAACTTGCGAGTGTGCTCCGACTGCCACTCGGCAATCAAGTTCATTAGCGGCGTCGAGGGAAGAAGGATCACGGTCCGGGACAGCAACCGGTTTCACCACTTCGATCGTGGCGAGTGCTCTTGTGGGGACTACTGGTAACATTAAGATGGTGTAGAATATGCCAGGAATAGTTTAGCACAGTAAATCAGTTTTATCAATTAAAATATTCATTACAGTTAAGCAACAATTTAAAAAATATTACCATAACTAGATGATCACTACGTAGAGATTATGCTCGTTCGGCTCAAATGCCGGATCCGCGCGCTCCGATGGGTTTCCACTAGCAGTGCCAGATTCTTCCCTCTCACTGAGAAAGAGGAGCAGCAGATCGATCGGCTCGAGCGCCTGGATCTCCGCGACGCCGTGCAGCTCCTCGAGGATCGATCCGTGTCACCCAGCGCCGAGGTGCTGGCCTGGTACCTCCGCCGCTGTGGGAGCGAGGCCGCCATCGCCGAGGGCAAGCGCATCCACTACCACATCGTGCTGTGTGGATTCAAGAGCAGCAGGTACCTTTGCAATCTCCTGGTAGAGATGTATGGCAAGTGTGGCAGTCTCCAGGCGGCCAAGAGCATCTTCCACATCACACCCAGAAGGAACGTTTTCTCGTGGACTATCATGGTAGCAGCATTTGCCCACAATGGGCATTACATGGATGCGCTCAAGCTCCTGGAGATCATGGATCTCGAGGGGATTTCGCCCAATTCCATCACCTTCATCGAGCTCCTGGGGGCCGTGGCGGCACTGTCGTGGCTGGATCGAGGTAGAGCTCTTCACAGACGCATCGCTTCTTGTGGATTTCTTGCAGATATCTTCGTGGCGAACTGCCTGATCAACATGTATGCCAAATGCAGGAGCTTGGCGGACGCTTGCAGCGTGTTTGAGAGCCTCACGAGCAGGAGCGTGATCGCCTGGACCGCCCTCGTCGCTGCCTACGCTCTCAATGGATTCTTCCGCGACGCGCTCAAGGTGTTCTTGCTCATGACGCTCGACGGCGTGGAGCCGACCGAGGTAACTTTCGTCACGGTGGTGGATGTGTGTGCCGATATCGCCGTGTTTGGCATTGGCAGGGAAGTTCACGGGGTGATCGACGCCAGGAGCGAGGCCAACGTTTGCGTGGGGAACGCTCTCATCAACATGTATGGGAAGTGTGCCAGTCCCGACGACGCGAGGAAAGTTTTCGACGCGATGGAGAGGAAGGATATCATCACCTGGAACTCGATGATCGCGGTCTACGGACAGAACGGCTATGGCTTCCAGGCTCTAGAGATCTACAAACGGATGCAAGAGAGCCGAGTTCTTCCGGATGGCGTGACTTTCACCAGTGCCTTGGACGCCTGCTGCTGCAACTCGTCACTTCTAGCTCGAGGACAAGCGATCCACGATCAAGCCATCGCCGCGGGACGTGAGAGAGAGGCAACCGTGAACTCGGCACTGATCAACATGTATGGGAAGTGTGGGAGGCTGGACCTGGCGAGGAAAGTTTTCGACGAGACTGAATCCACCAACGCAGTCTCGTGGAACACGATGATCATGGTCTACGCACAGAACAGCCATCTCAGGGAAGCTCTGGAGCTCTTCTCGGAGATGACCATCCTCGGGATCACACCCGACGACATCACTTTCATCGGGGTGCTCTTCGCTTGCAGCCATGCCGGGCTCGTCAAGGATAGCTGCAAGCTCTACAGCTCCATGATCGGCGACTACGGCTTCAAGCCCACGTCTCTCCAGTGCGGCTGTCTCATCGATCTCCTGGGACGAGCCGGGTGGCTGGACGAAGCCGAGGAGTTCATCAACTCCATGCCATACCATCCGGATCACACCATCTGGACGATACTCCTGGGAGCTTGCATCACTCACGCGGACGTGGAGCGAGCAGCTCGAGCGGCGGACCGGATCATGGCGCTGAGACCCACGGACTCGGGATCCTATGTCGCTCTCTCCAACTTGTACGCTCTCGCGGAGAGGTGGGACGACATGGCCAGGATGAGAAAGCTCATGGACCAGCGTGGAGTCTTCAAGATGGCCGGGAAGAGCTCCATCGAGATTGGTGGAGTGCTGCACGAGTTCATCGCTGGGGACACCTCGCACCCGCGGAAGCGTGAGATTTACGAGGAGCTGCGGAGGATCGAGGGGGTGATCCGCGAGAGAGGCTACGTCCCGGATATCAAGGCTGTGTTGCACAACGCGGCAAGAGAGGCCAAGGAGAAGATGTGCTGCTTCCACAGCGAGAGGCTGGCGATTGCGTTTGGGATGATCTCGAGCCCGGGTGGGACTGAGCTCCGGATCATGAAGAACTTGCGTGTCTGCCCCGACTGTCACTCGGCTTCCAAGATCATCTCCAAGTTTTCGGGCAGGAAAATCATCGTCAGGGACGCAAATCGCTTCCACGAGTTCCGGAATGGATCCTGCTCGTGTGAAGATTATTGGTAAGTGTCTCTTTTCTGGTAGAACACACCTCAAGAATCATTAAATCTCCTTCACCATGCGACTTGATCTCGAGAAACACATCTACACTGAAAGATTGCAAAGACAGTTCTTCATGAATAGATAACAATGTAATGTTGATCCCATAGTAACCATACCTTTAAGGGGGCTTTGCACCAGACATTCTCCATAAATTTTGACACTATTGATAATGAGAAGATTAGTTTTAATAAGAAATTACATTTTCTCATGTTGTCTTGCTTGTTTATTCTAATTATTTATATAATTACGATTATTTTATATGCTAATGATCCTTGATCCAATCTTCACATGAGTAAGGTCCATTCTGGAGCTCGTGGACGCTGACGATGATGTTCCTGCCGGAAAACTTGGAGATGATCTTGGTAGCCGAGTGACAGTCGGGGCAGACACGCAACTTCTTCATAGTCCTGAGCTCAGTATCATCCCAAACGCAATCACCTATGCAACACAGCCTTGATATCCGGGACGTAGCCTCTCTCGCGGATCACCCCGTCGATCCCCCTCCTCGTAAATCTCTCGCGGAGTTATCGGGAGCTTGCGCACTCGAACAAGCTACGAAAGAAAGTTTTCGAAGCGCTAGGTTTTTTATGGCTTTACGCGTGCTCCTGAGCGTGCGGTTTACATCAATGCGGTGAGAGCGGACACAAGACTTCTATATATTTAAATTGTGAAAATACAAAGCGGTAGTTATAGAACATATCTTCTTCTGAAACTAGTATGGTATTGGAGAAAATGACGATCTCACGTAGAGCACTCACCATTTCGATTGTGGCGAGTGCTTTTGTGGGGACTGTGGGTGGATTACATATATTACACTTTCATTTACTTCATTTGTATATTTTTTAATTAAGAGACAAGAATACATATCAATTGTTTTTTTTTTTTATAGTTTTTTTTTGTGGATCCTGCTCATAGAATACTATCTTTTGAAGATCCTAGTTTAACTCATCTTCTTCCCACTTAACATGTTCTTTATCCACCACACACCCCATTGTTCCAAAGATCTTAAGCTGTTTCCGGAACCCATGGTTAACGGCAGTAGGACTAACCTTTTCCACCTCCGCGAGACCCTTTGCAAAACTTAGCCCTTCACTCCTCATCAAGTGCGCCACAATCACTGAAACACTCCTTGACAAACCCATGCGGCAGTGGACAAGCACCACCCCCTTGCATACCACAATCGCATTGTCAATGAATTCCAAACAATCTTCAAGATGGATAAGGAGGTTTTCACTCTCAACATCATCAATCGCCACTTCCTTTCTCACTATTCCGAACTGGGTGCTGTCAAAGCCTCCAACTTCCACCATTGACAAAATATGTGTAATACCATGTTGTGTAATCCTGGTCTGATTCAAACTCTGTATATCCCGTATGTTACCCAGCCACAAGCCTTCCCGAATCTTTATCATTTAGAACCCTAGATAATGCTAGGGTTCTAAGGTAATACTGGGAATTTATCTAAAGCGATGGTACTTTTTTATTTTTTTTTTGCCTTAAAAGAGAACAGGTAATTCATTTCCTTGAAGCGTATCAAAAGTGATTCTGTCTTTATAGTTCTCAGGAAGATGATCTACAGCGACAGCGAATAGTTCGACACAAAGAGTGTAAGCATTTTGGTTCCATTTCTCTTAGCGGGCTTTAGAATTTATTTATTTATTTATTTTCTTTTCTCACTTGCCTCGGGATTGATCAATCGTTTTTCCTATTCTTCTTCCTCTGGTTTGCTTTGGCTCTAGCAATAATGTGAGCCGAAAGCACCGACAATTAGAATGGAATATAAAACTTCTCTATCTATCCTTCGCCTGGTCCTTGCTGCGTGAAAGGCTCCAACTTCAAGTCTATCAGAGCCGTTTTCTTGTTTGGTGCGAGGGAGAATGCTCTGTTTGTTTAGTGTGTAATTCGGTGCTCGCTGGATTTACTTCCTTCTTTTTCCTTGGCCTTCCTTCTCCTTGCCTTGATGGTTGTTGGGCTTTTGACGGTACTCTAGTCTTGCGAGTTTCAAGGCCTCTTTTCTCTGCTTCCTTGTACCTGTTCTAAACTCTAGACAGGGAAGACGCAAGTTTCAGGCTGGATTTAGAAGAGTTTGAGGCTCTCATTATACTTCATGCTTGACTGATTGATTGGATTGTTTGAGGCGAGTACGAGCCAGTCGAGCTAATCATCAGAGCTTGGCTTTGTCGCTAAAGGTTTGTCTCTCTGATCAGAGGTCGTGTTTGTTTATGTTCTAACTTAGTGGTGACAGGGAAAGCATGAACGTTTTTCCAGTACCATTTCGCAGAGAATGAGGGTCTACTGTGGTTCCTGTCCAACGCTCATCAAGGGCCTCATAGTACACAGGCGAGCCAATCACAGGTTGACTTGAAAGAACTTCCTTTCTTTGTTGTTTTCTTTCTTTTTCTTGGCGCACACTTTGGCTGTCTGTGTCACTTTCTCCGTGAGTTGTCAATGTTTTTATGTTTGCTGCTGCTCACTGGCTGTTGCTGTCTTCTCGCAAAACCTTGCACTTCAGAGATTGGAAGAGCGAGGAAGAAAGACGCAAGATTTCTTCTATTCATTCATCCCGTGGCTGGTCTTAAAGTTGAGCATGTGGAGACGATGCGCAATCTCGAAGGTCTGCCTTGGATTAGTTCGTGTGATGCTGTAGCCAGGATTCGCATTCATGTAACTTAGCAGCGCTCTCATCTCACTAACTTGTTTGCTTTTGTTCCAGCGCTGTTTTGGAATGGATTCTGTCCGAACCAAGCTGCTGCTGCTGCTGCTGCTTGGAATTCAAGGCAAAGGAGCTCTTGGAGCCCCTGAGCACGATTTGGTGACCAATCTTCCAGGACAGCCGGCTGTTCCATTCAAGCAATACGCTGGCTATGTGACTGTGGACAGTCATGCAGGGCGAGCACTGTTTTACTACTTCGTGGAGGCTCACAGCCACGCGAGCTCCAAGCCTCTGGCATTGTGGCTCAATGGAGGTAACGGCTTCTTTCTTCCGAGTAGGGAGAGAAAAAAAATGGAACAAAGCTCTCTCACTCTCTCTCTCGCTCTCTGTGTTTTTGTTTTTCTTGTTTGATATCATCTTGCAGGACCGGGATGCTCCTCTATCGGCGGCGGCGCGTTCACCGAGCTTGGCCCGTTTTATCCGAATGGAACAGGGAGAGGCCTTGTTAAAAACTCCAATTCCTGGAACAAAGGTATCATCATCTCTTCTCAGACCTCTCTATTTTTTTTCCTCGTAGCTCGGACTTTTACTCCTTGTTCTCTAGCTGCGAACATCTTGTTCCTGGAATCACCCGCTGGTGTCGGCTGGTCATACTCAAACAGGAGCGAAGATTATAGCATCTACAACGACGCAAAAACAGGTGAGTCTCATAGAGATACGCTCTCTCATTGTCAAAGTTCTAGAGCTTTACTCGTCTCCAAACTTGCAGCTAAAGACTCGGTTACCTTCTTGCTTCGCTGGTTTGACGCATTCCCGGAGTATAAAAGCCGGGAATTCTACATCACTGGAGAAAGCTATGCAGGTTCGTGCCTGTTTTTATCGTTTTATTCCTTTTTCTTTTGAGAATCATGATCTTCAAGATGTATGTTCATGTACGTTTCTACAGGGCATTATGTACCCCAGCTGGCCGCTGCATTGCTCGATTACAATAAAGCTGCTGGACACTCAGTTTTCAACGTTAAAGGAATCGCAGTAAGTTTGCGACTATTTTATGGTTTCTCTTCTTCCATGGCAATACGTGGATTCTTTCCTCCAGATCGGCAACCCAGCTTTGAACCTAGCAATCGACACAGCCTCCACTTATGATTTCCTGTGGTCCCATGGCCTCATCTCGGACAAGACGTACGAGGGCCTTGGAAGAAGCTGCTACTGGAGTGATTACGATCACGGCTCTGGGAATAACAACGTCTCCGCCGAATGCAACCAGTTCATATCCAACTCGGCACTAGAGATGGGAGATCACGTCAACCCGTACGACATAATCCTGGACGTGTGCGTCCCTTCCATTGTGGAGCAAGAGTTTCGACTAAAGAAGCGAGTAAGCTCTGGTGATCACTTTGGAGATGTTGTCTTTTTTCTTGACTCTCGCGTTTCTAGATGGGCCACCGGAGCATTGGAGTCGACGTGTGTATGTCCTACGAGCGATACTACTACTTCAACTTGCCCGAGGTTCAAAAGGCTCTTCACGCAAACACGACCGGGCTTCCGTATCCTTGGACGAACTGTGACGGGTAAGTAATGCAAAGTTCCGTGGTGTGGTGCGATTTTGATGTTTTGAACAGGCCTGTTCAATACGACATAAACGACATGAGATTAGACATCGTGCCAGTTCTTCGAGATCTTCTCAAGAATGGTCTTCGAGTTTGGGTTTTCAGGTAAGACACTACGGTTGCCAGATTCACAAGCTGCTTACATTTTCCATCGTATCAGCGGTGATGAGGACGCCGTGGTTCCGTTTCTTGGCACACGAGTTAACGTCAATAGCCTTGCGCAGGAGCTCAAGCTACGCACAACTGCGTCTTACAAAGCTTGGTTTTTGCGCACACAGGTATGAGAACGATAGAACTTTTCCAGCTTGCGATGATCAAACATGCATTCTTTTCTCAGGTTGGAGGATGGGCAGAGTCGTTTGGAAACCTCACGTTTGCTACGGTCCGCGGTGCTGCTCATATGGTTCCACTCGCACAGCCAGCCAGGGCCTTACTCTTGTTCCAGAAGTTCATCTCTGGACAGCCTTTGCCAGCTTCTCCTTACTCATGACCAAACTTTTGGGAAACGAATTCCAGATTATTTGGGCAACAAAGACACATAGTTGAGCAGCAACCGAGTGAGCGTATCCACCATCCGGGACACACCCACGGCTGCTCGACTCGAAACCGATCGATGCATCCTAAAACTTGAAAGCTAAATGCTGCTGATAAGAATCGTAAGCGACGTCGAGTTTTACCTTGCAGAAGAAGTAAAAAAATGATGACAGAAAACTACCAAGGAAGCTAAGTTCGTCCCGCCGAGTTCGAGGCTCAAGAGATGATAGAACTCAACTCAGAGAAATCCCATAGCGGAACGTCCGAGCTTAACACTCCCTCGAGGACGGAGACGTCGGCCAGAGTGGTGCTGCTACAGCTGCTCCCGCTTCCACTCGGGCTCCACGGAACTTGGGCTTCGCCAGACTCTGGCCTCTGGACGTGACTAGCCGGGCTCGACTCTTTCACCGTCACCACCATTTGCTGCTGCTGCTGGTGCTGGAAGAAGTCTTGCTGCTGAGATGAAGCCAGTCCAGCGACGTGAAGCCCCAGAGACGTGCTCGGTGCGGCTGAGACGAGCATGCTTCCGTCCTCGTTCCAGCTCCCCGGAGGAGCCGGCTTGAAAGCTCCGGCCGCAAAGCTCGAAGTTTTCATGGAGCCGCCGGAGCTGGTGCTGGTGTCGAAGAAGGACGAGAGCTGGACGTCGCTGGCCGAGAAGGGAGCCGGGCTGGACGTGAAGGCACACATTCCAGGCCCGCCACCTCGCATGAGCAGCACGTCGGGAGCCATGGAGGAGTTCTCGTGAGCTCGATCGTGGGGGTGGTGGTGGTGGTGGTGGTGGTGGTGATCCAGAGGGGACGAGGATGGTGGTAGTGGGAGCTTGGACTGGACAGCGGTGGAGAGCCCCTGCTTGATTTTGTGGACGACTGGGTCGATTGGATTGATCGACTTGGAGGAAGGTCCCGGCCAGCTCTGGCGGGATGATCCTTGGACAGTGGTGGCGCGGAGGAGGGGATTGGAGAGAGATGGAGATGGAGATGGAGTGGAGGTTTGATCGAGCTGCTGCCAGTCAGGCCTCTTTCTCATGAGGACGTTGAGCATGTCGTCCTTGAAGCAGCCCAGCGCGGCCTCGGCGATCTGGCCGCCTTTGGGGATGGCGATGCTGCCCGCGAGATCGGCGAGGAGCTGCGAGATTGGCTTGTGGGTGATTGGATCGATGCCCATCTCGCACAGCTTCTTCTTGAGCCGCGTGTTCCAGTAGTTCTTGACGTCGTTGTCTGTTCTTCCCGGGAGCTGGGCTGCGATGAGCGACCATCTGGATAGAATGATCGCCGCGTGTTAGAGATATGGTCCATGGATTCCTCGCGGCCTCGATCTCTCGGCATTAAATGGAAGCTCTGTCGCGAGAGAGCGAGATCTCGCGAGTGTGGTGTCACTCATTCATGAATTCACGCACGCTCGCGCACGCAAACAAACAAGCACACGGGAGAAAAGCGAGCGCAAGGGATGAGACCAAAAGGAAACAAAGAAGAAAATCCATTTCTTTGTTCCATATGCTCCACATGAGCCCGCGCTTTGCAGCCGAGATCACGTAGAATCGCAGCACGCAAGCGACGACGAATCACGACAGGGAAACGAGGCAGGAATGACAAGAAAAAACGTTTTGCTGGAGCCACTCCACTGCCTCCGCTCCAGCACGAGAGAAAGAGATCGAGAATCAATCACTCCTGGACTGGGCGAGCGATGGATTAATCAAATCGACCCATGGATCGATCGATCAAGACCAAATGGAAACACCCAACTGGAATGGAAGAACTCCAAGAACACTACCATAGCTTTAGACAAACAATGAAAGAAGAACGAGAACAATGGTGAGAGTACTCTCAAGTACGCGTAGAGTACGCATCCCATCATGCGTGGGCGACGGTACAGTCTTCCCTCCCGCTCTGACCATACGCTGACTTGACTTGACTTTGGCTGACTGGCCAGGCCAGCACGCACAAAGCTCTTTCTAACCGACTAAACCAAAGGTAAAGACAGGCAGAAAGACATGGTTAGTTGATCGCCCAGAGGAAAAACACGGTCAGAGCGGTCAAGGCTCCGCAAAACAGGCTGGTCAAAACACTCCACACTGGGGCAGTGGACTAAAAACCGGGGAGAATAATCACGCTCGCTAATCCTGGCTAATTGCGTTAGCTGATGACGTCAGCATGCTGGACTGGAGTGGACTGGGGACTGTGCGCCGCGAAATTATTCGCGAGCTCGCGAGAGAGGAAGTGATCCACTCTCAATGCGGTTCACAGACAGACAAACGAAAGGAAAGGAGGACCATCGATCGCTCGATCGCTATGGATCGATGGATCGATCGAAGGAAACAAGGAAAACGATGGAAACTTTCGAGAAAGGATGAGGAGGAGAGGAGAGGATCATTTACCTGCTGCCCAGAGCGGCGTGGAGCTTGACGATCAATTGCTCCTCGTGATCAGTGAATCGGCCGTGCTTGAGATCGGGGCGGAGGTAATTCGTCCAGCGCAGCCGGCAGCTCTTGCCGCATCTCTGGAGCCCTGCGAGAGAGAGAGAAAAATCCTCACACGAATTAGAGTAGCCGCGGAAAAATTTAGACTCGAGCTTGAACGATCGAGCTAGAGAAAGAAGAAGAAGAAGAAGCAGAGAATGGAGAGAAATTTGGAGTGATCGAGAGAGAATCGGGCAAAAACACAAACCAGCTTTCTTGGGGAGTGTCCTCCAGCTTCCAGTGCCGTGCTGCGCAATGCAGGCGAGCAGCTTGGCGTCCTCCTCGGGCGTCCACGGCCCCCTCTTGACACTATCCTTCTCGCAACACGGCGCTCTTCCCATTTTCTCTCGAATCGAAACCGATGGATTCACGCGAGCGAGATGCGAGCTAATCCAATCGCCCAATCAATCCCGCTTGGCAAAATGCGAGAGAGAGAGAGAGAGAGAATCCTTCCTCCAGTGGAAGAGCCACACACACACGCACACAAGCACACACACTCGAGATATCTATTATCTATATTTCGGAGAATCGCGTATAGCCCTGGAAACACGAAGCTGACGAGCTCTTGAGCCCCGACTCACACGACAAACAAAAGCGCGAGAGAGAAAAAAAAAATTCCTTTTTTCCTCTTGTGTGTAAAATAGGGCAACAAAACAAGCCAGAAATATTGTCACGGGGATGACCGGCTGGAACCGGTCACTGGCCTTCCGTACCGGTAAAGAGACCGGCACTGCCGGTTGGCGAGGAGGGCCGAGCATGCGGCGCACGTGGCGGGGGGCCTCATGTAAATCGCGCTCGCGCTTTTGTCCAATCCCAACCGTTGAGGATGGATCGGACGGCTGGGGCCGGCCGCTGGCGGCGAATCGCGGCCGTCGAGTTGCCCGCTAAGCACGAGTTTAAGCGGCGGTACTTAAGTACTAAAGCGCGAGCCCATGTCTTGGGAGCTTTGGAATAAAGGGGAGCTCTTTTCTGTGCCTTATTTTTTTTGCCTTGCGTCCCAGCGATCGATCGTCGGGGGGACTCGTGCGAGCAAGCAACGTGCTGTGCGCGAAAGAGCAAAAAAAAAAAAAAACCAAAAAAAGGTGAGTGGATTCAACATTGGAAGAAGCGAATTTAGTACTCTACTTCCAAATGCGCGTGTATGTGTGTGTGTGTGTCTCTCCTGGCACAAACTATCAATCCAAGTTGTCTATAGATTAGGGCTTAGGGTTTTGAAGTTAGGATTTAGGGTATAAGAGCCCTATCCCATAAGCCCAAGAGAAACTAAAACCTCCAACATATAATGTCCTTGAGGGAATTGTTGCCTTTGGTGGAGAAAGCAGCGCTTCGGTCCATTAGGGCTGAGTGAAAGTCCCCGAGCTCGGTGCTTTTGACACCAAATGGCAGAGAGTGCCACCTCGAAAGAGGAGAAGCCCGGTTGAGGCCACTGTGGTGTCTCGCCATGGCCGGGTTAGCTGGCTATAGTCCCAGTAATGCGCTTACACACGCGTGTACAACAGAACGGGGCTTACTATCTCCACCAAATCTTTTTTACGATTGTGTTCTAGCTGGATCCATTCCGGAACTTGGAGATGTTTGATCATAGCCGACTAGAAACTCGAGCAAGAACACTAGATCGCTTCACAGATCGAAGAGGCGGGATCCATTCCGGAATTTGGAGATGTTTGATCTTAGCGAACTAGAAACTCGCACTACGTGATCCGCCGGCGAAGAGGCTGGATCCATTCCGGAACTTGGAGATGTTTGATCTTAGCGAACCAAGAACACTAGATTGCTTCACAGATCCCAGTACGTGAGCCGCCGGCGAAGAGGCTCGCGCTCGTCATACTCCTTCTGTGCCTGTTCTTGCCTGCTCATGGACAGAAACTCGGTATCCCTACGCCGGATCACCTCCAGCTCCCTCTCCGCCCTCTCCGGATCCCGCAACAGCCTAAAGTACCTCACGCGCGATCCGGCCACCGGCGCCTCCACGCTCACCAATCTCTCCTGCCGCATCCAGTAGAGCAGCTGCCTCATGTGTGATCGGCTCCGGATGCCCCGCTCCTCGGCGCGCGCCCACAGATCATCCACCGTGTGGCCCTTGAAATCGCCCAGGAATTCCACCAGCGCCAGCGCCCACGCCTTGGCCTGGTCGGGAGGGCAATGCGGGTGCCGCGCCTTCTCCCTCGCGAGCTTGGCTGCCCTCGCAAACATCCATAAACCCTAAATCTCTGGGAAGGAGAAAGGGGAAAATAAGAACCCTAAAATCAAACATGCAGTGCGCCAGTCCGTCACTGGGCGCCATCGCCGATCTCTCCTGGATCGCGGGGCGGAGGAGGAAGCGGAGGAGCGTCCACATTGTGGCGATGGCGATGGCGATGGGTTCGGCTTCTTCTTCTTCTGCGGCTGCTGCTGCTGCCGAGGTAAAGCTATGGGGTGGACGATTCCAGCAGCGCACAACCAATGCCGTGGAATCCTTTAGCGAGTCCGTGTCCTACGATAAGAAGCTCTACAAGGAAGATCTCGCTGGGAGCTGTGCGCACGCTGTGATGCTCGCCAAGCAAGTAAGTTCTCTTCTCTCCATTTTTCTTCTTCTTACTCTCAAGCTTTTCCATGCATGATTTGATTCGCCAGGGTCTAATGTCGGAAGAGGATCGAGATGCGATCTTAAAAGGGATTGCTGAGATCGAGGCTAGGATCGAGAGTGGCAACTTCACTTGGAGATCCGATCGAGAGGACGTCCACATGAATGTGGAGGCTGCTCTCACGGATTTGATTGGAGAGCCGGCAAAGAAACTCCACACTGCCAGGAGCCGCAACGATCAAGTTGCCACGGACGTAAGGCTTTGGTGCCGCAATGCCATTGATAATCTCGTGAAGAAGATCATAGCTCTCCAGGTAGATTTTTCTCTTCCTTCAATCGTGTTTTCACTCTCTTGTTTGTTTTGTTCTTCCAGATTGCTCTTGTCCAGCTTGCTCTTGATAACGAGGGATTGGTGGTGCCAGGCTATACGCACTTACAACGAGCTCAACCGATTCTTCTACAGCACCTTTTGCTTGCTTACGTAGAACAAGTAAGTTTGTCTCACATCTTCGCTTCTAAACACTTCCACTAACAAAGCCTTTGTGTGTTTAGTTGGAGCGAGATGCCGGCCGTCTCAAAGACTGTCGCTGCCGTATCAACTTTTCGCCTCTGGGATCCTGCGCTCTCGCTGGGACTGGCCTTCCAATCGATCGATTTATGACAGCTGAAGCTTTGGGATTCACTGCTCCTCTTCGTAACAGGTAACGTGAAAGAGTTTTTTCTCTTTGTTTATTTTGTTTGCTGAAACTTTGCATTTCTAGTGTGGATGCAGTATCGGACCGGGATTTTCTCATTGAGTTCCTCGCCGCGAACTCTATAATCGCTGTCCATCTCTCACGCATCGGTGAGGAGTGGGTCCTTTGGGCCTCCGAAGAGTTTGGTTTCTTGATACCGAGTGATGCTGTCTCAACCGGAAGCAGCATCATGCCTCAAAAGAAAAATCCAGATCCTATGGAGCTTGTCCGAGGCAAATCTGCGAGAGTTATTGGCGATCTCATGACCGTGCTGGTGCTTTGCAAGGGTCTTCCTCAAGCTTACAATCGCGACCTCCAGGTAAGTTTTTCCTTCTTTCTGTGAAAGATGGTCTCACCTTACTTGTGCAGGAGGACAAGGAACCATTGTTCGATAGCGTGGAGACGATCGGCACAGTCTTGGAGGTGACAACGGAGTTTTCCCAGAACGTAACGTTCAACAGGAAGAGAATCTCGGCGTCTCTTTCGGCTGGACACTTGGACGCCACAACCATGGCCGACTACTTGGTGAACAAGGTAGCGTTCCATTTCACTTGCATCATCACAGGCACCTCCAACTTTTCTATCTCAAATCTTTTCCAGGGGATACCATTTCGAACTTCGCATGATATCGTCGGCAAGGCCGTAGCGCTGGCCATCTCCAAAGATGTGGAGCTCTCCAAGCTCACGCTGGAGGAGCTCCGGAGCATCAATCCGGTGTTTGAGGACGATGTCTACGAATACTTGGGCGTGGAGAACGCAGTGAAACGCTTCCAGTCCTATGGATCTACTGGAGCGAGCTGCGTGAAAGAACAACTCCAGTATTGGTGCGAGAAGCTCAAGCTGGTATGAAACTTTTCTTCGTTTTTTTGCGATCGAGCCTCTGTTTTTTTTTCTTGGGAATAAAGACCGCAAGAACACAAGTACCATTTTAACGACCTTTCTTTTTAACTGGTACGGATTTTGGGCAGCCCAGCTGGCACAAATCTCCGCCGTTCGTGTCACGTCATTTGCCGCCAATTTACAAAAACCTAGGTCACACGTGTCGCCATTTGAGTGCAACGGCCCGATACGGTCCTACGTGGCGTCGTTGCTTCGTGTCCATCCAACGGTCTGGGTCGTTCCTCGTTCCAAGTTTTCTTGCTATATAGTCCCTCGAGGAACTGTCTAGCGTTCTTGATATTTTCCAAGAACGAGCGAGAGCTAGGGTATTCTTTCTTTTGTTCCGATCGATCGATGGCGGCATTCAAGCTCGCGATCTTTCCTCTGCTGCTCGCGGCAGCATTGGCGACGCTTCGATCCGTGGAGTCGGCCGAGTACGTTGTGGGAGAATCGGCGGGATGGATGATCCCGTCCGCCGCCGTGAACTACTCGGCCTGGGCGCTCAAGCACAACTATCATCCTGGCGACACTCTCTGTAAGTAGCAATCGATCTTTCGTCTTCCTTCCGGCTCATCGGTTTCTTGATCGATCTTTCTCTTCCCCTCGCAACTTCCTTTCTTTCTTCGATATTTTGGCCTTTGCCTGATCGATCGATCGGTGTCTCACTCTTTCTTGTGTGGATGGGTGATCTTTCTTGGCAGTGTTTAACTACCAGCAGCAAGGCGACAGCGTTCTTGAGGTGAACAGGGCGGATTTCATGAACTGCATCAAGACCAACCCGATCAACCATCACAGCGACGGCAAGACGCTCATCCGCATCTCTCGCCCGGGTCCCCACTGGTTCATCTCGGGAGTCCCCGGCCACTGCGAGCAGGGCCAGAAGTTCGGCATCATGGCCACGCCCGCCTCGCCAGGCTCGCGATCCTCGCCATCCACGCCGCAGGCTCCATCGCCCACGCCGTCCTCCCCAAGCTCCCACTCTGGACCGTTCGCGCACACCAGAGGCGCCGCCGCCGCTGGATCCCACGCCCCGGCTCCATCCCCGACCAGCGCCGCTACTGGATCTCTCCCCGCGCTGCTAGCTCCAAGCATTGGCGCTTGCTGGATCATCGCCATGCTCCTATAGGCTTGCTTGTAGGAAACTCCATTTTTTCTTGTTCTCTCTTGCGGATGTTCAGCTAAAGTTAAAATCTTCCTTTTTGATGCTAGTCAATGCTAGTCAGCGCAAACTGTCGCTGTTGACCGGTACATCCATTCATAGTCAATGCTATGTTGACCGGCCCGTCCAAACGCTAATCAGCGCAAAACGGTCGCTGTTGAACCGGTCCATTCAGGCAGCCACGAACGTATTACACAACGACACGTGTGTGGCGGCCCGCTCCTCCGCCTCCATCGCCCTCGAGATCCTGGCCGCACGTTCCACGTCACCGTGCGTGTTGCAAGCGCCAACCAGCGCCGACCACGTGGCCTCGTCGGGCTTGAACGGCATGCTCACGATCAAGTCCTCGGCGTCCGCCAGCCTCCCAGCTCGGCCCAAAAGATCCACCACGCAGCAGTAGTGATCGGCCCCAGCTTCCAGATCATAGTCTCCGCGCATGCTCGCGAAGTAGTCCCACCCCCGGCGGAAGAACCCGGCGTGGTTGCAAGCGAAGAGCACGGCCAGGAACGCCACCTCGTCGGGCTCCATCCCCTGGAGCTGCATCTCCTGGAAGAGATCGATGGCTTCCAGGCTCGACCCGTGCGAGGCATACGCCACCATCATCGACGTCCACGACACCACGTCGCGCTTGTCCAGGCGATCGAACACCCGCCGGGCCTCGCCAACTTTGCCGGATCTCGTCAGCGTGTTGAGCAGCGCGGTGCCGACGAGGGAGTCCGTCTCCATGCCGGTGGAGAGGATGGCGTGCTGCACGGCGCTGGCCTCGCTCGGGGAGAAGCTGCCGCCGACTGCTAGAAGTCCCAGGAAAGTTGCTCGATCCGGCCTCACCGATGCGGCTTGCATCGCCTGGAACAGCTCCAGCACCGCCTCCTTGTCGCCTCGCCTCGAGTAAGCTGCGATCATGGCGTTCCAAGCCGGAGATCCCCGTGACTTCTCCTCCATGGCGTCGAACACCCGCCTCGCCACCTCCACACTGCCACATTTGCCGTGCATGGCGATGAGCGACGACTGGATGGCCGAGTCCGAGCACCACCCCAGGTCCGAAAGCCGGCTGTGGATCTTCGCCGCCATCTTCACGTCCTCGATGCCCCTGCTTGCCTCCATCACCGCGACGTAGACGATCTTGTCAGCACGGCAGCCCTCCTGTTCCATCTTCTGGAACACCTCCACGGCTTCTCTCGCAAAACCGTTCGTCGAGTATCCCCGTATCATGGACGTCCAAGTGACCGCGTTTTTGCTCGGCATCACGTCGAACACCTGCTTGGCTTCCACCACGTCGCCGCACCTCCCATACATGGTAACCAGCGCAGTGCCAACGTAGACGTCGATGTGGATCCGGTTGGCGAGGATCAAACCGTGCAGAGTTTTGCCATGGACGAGGCCGTCACTCCCCATGGCCGAGCAGGCGTCGAGAGCACTCACGTAGCTCACTCGGTCTTGCCTGGGACCGCAAGCCTCTTGCATCTCGAAGAAGAGGCCCAAGGCTTCCTTCGGCTGATCGTTGTGGAGATGAGCTCTAATGATGGAATTCCACGAGACCACGTCCCTGTCTTGCTCTTGCATGCTGTGGAACACGGCTTTGGCTTCCTCCAGACACCCGCACATCCCGTATAAGTCGAGCAGAGTGTTGTTCACCACCGTGTCTATCTCAAACTTGCCTTCCACTATCCTTGCGTGGATTCGCTTGCCTTCTTCGAGGTTCATGGCGCTCGAGCACGCGTCAAGAACGCTCGCGAATATCACCTTGTCGGGAACCACGTCGATCTGCTTGTAGAGCTCGATGGCTTCGTTTCCGAAACCGTTCTGTCCGTATGCAGTGATCATCCTGGCCCAGGTGAGAGCAACTCTCCTACTCATTCCATCGAACAATCTCCTGGCCTCGATCACCTCTCCAAACTTCCCATACATTTTGATCAGTCCTGTCTGTAACGCTACGTCGGACATGAAGCCAATACTCTGGATTCGTCTGTGAATCTCTCTGCCTTTTTTCAGGCCTCTGTCGGGGCACGACAATCCGCAGCAACCGTCGAGAGCGCTGATCAGCGTGTACTTGTCAGGAGGAATCCCCACCAGAGCCATCTCGTGAAACACCTCCACTGCCTCCTCTCCAAAACCATTCCTGGCGTAAGTTGCAATCATCGTGTTCCACGACACGGAGTCCCTGACCGTCATCCCGTCGAAAACGTTTCTGGCATCAGCTGGACTCGAGCATTTGCTGTACATGTTGATGAGTGCATTCCCCAGGACAAGATCGGAGCCGAAACCATGCCTTGTGACACTCGCATGAACGTCCCGGCCATCTGACAGAGCTTTCAGGCTCACGCAAGCGTCGAGAGCATATAAAAAGCTGACCTTGTCCGGTTCAGTCATCTCGTAAAACAACCGAAGAGCTTCTGTCGGACACCCGTTCTGGTTGTAAGCTGCCATTATGACATTCCACGAGACGACATTCTTCTCCGGTATGGTATCGAAGGCGAGTTTGGCATCCGCCAAGCTGCTGCTCTTCCCAAACATGTTGACAAGCGAGGCAGCCACTGCGACGTCGGAGCCGAGTCCACTCGAAACAACTCGAGCATAAGCCAGCCTCGACTCGGCCAGGCACCCCAGGCCCGTGCAAGCTTCGACCAGACTCAGGAATGTGATCCTGTCCGCTTTCATGCCTTCCAGATCCATCGCCTTCATCAGTCGGAGAGCATCCTTGGCCAGTCCATTCCGAGCATAGGCTCCTATCACAGTGTTCCAGGACACGACGGTCTTCTCAGGCAAGCCTTCGAAAACCATCCTGGCCGTCTGGCAGTCCCCGCACCTCCCATACATGCCCACAAGCGCGTTTCCCACGTTGAGATTTGCATGCCACCCGCTCTCCACAATCCTCGAGTGTGCCTGCTTGGCTCTGTTCAAGTCGAACAGCTTCGAACAGGCATCCACGACTGCCAAGTACGTCACCTTCTCGGCCTTAAACCCCTCCAAGTCCATCTCCTGGACGAGCCTGAGTACTGCTCTCCCGTGGCCACCCTTGCTGTAGGCCGTAAGCAAGATGGTCCACGAGTAGATGTTCTTTGCCTGGATGGCCTGGAAGGCAGCACGGGCACTCTCCATATCCCCGCATTTCCCATACATGTCCACGAGCAGATTACCGAGAAACGCATGACTGCCGTATCCACACTTGAGAATCTGCTCGTGGACAAGCCTGCCATCTTCTAGTGACCTCTCCTCTGCGCACACACGCAGAAGCCCAACGAATCCTTCCGGATCTCCCTGAAGACCAACCTGAACTAGCTCGCTCTCCGTCACCGACGACGATCCTTTCTGCTGTGGACAACTCCTGCTCATCCATCTCTTGAGTCTGACGAGCACCACCACATTCCTTCTTGGTCGAGAAGGAGCCCTAGCCATCCTTCCTCATCTCTGCCCTATACCCGGCCTGGGCATATGCTTGTTTCGACGGCGCTGCCGGTCCCCCCAGATGGGCTGTCCAGACTCCCCCAGCCGCAGCAACCCACGAAAGAACTACCGAAAATGGAGCGCGGGCTCAGCTTCACAACCGGGAACGCTTTCTACAGGCGCGAGAGTGCGGTAGGGAGAGACCTGAGTGTTCTAGCGGCCATAGCCTACAAGAGAGAGCACGGTCAGCTCCGAGCACTGGATGCTCTGTGTGGGTGCGGAGTGAGAGCAATGCGGTACCTTGTGCAGGCTAGTGCTGACTTTGTCTGGGCCAACGATGCCTGCGACCATCTTCGTCCCGGCATTCTTGACAACCTGCGAGCTGTAGCTCCTCCTTCCTGTTCTTCTTGTCCTACCGAAAGGTGGAAAGTCAGCACTCAAGACGCCAACAAGCTCCTTCTCGGCTGCTACCTTGCCGACGATTACTACGACCTCATCGACGTCGATTCTCACGGGAGTAACTCCGTCTTCTTTGGCTCTGCTCTGGCTGCCCTCAAACGTGGTGGCCTCGTCTATGTCACCTCCACCGACGGCTTCTCTTGCAGCAAGCGGCCTTATAAGTGAGCACTCACGCGCTCTTCGATGGCTGTTTTGATTTTTCTCCTTCTCTTTCAGTGCACTTGCATCATACGGAACTTTCACCAGGCGCCTGCCGTTTATCAACGAGATCGGGCTGCGAATGGTCATTGCTGGCGTCGTGCGCGAAGCTGCCACCCGAAACTTGAGGATGCGTCCCCTTTTCTCGCACTATTCTGCCCACGGACCAGTGTTTAGAATCATGCTCCGGATGGAGCACGGCGAACTTGATCTCCGCACGTAATTTCCAGGTTGATCTTGTTGTCTGACGTTCATCCATCTTTGTGTTCTGGCAGTAACTACGGATTCATAGCGCACTGCAGCGAATGTGGGGCATTCCAGAGCGTTTCTTGGGACGAACTCGGCCAAACATCAGCTTGCAGTTGCTCCAAGAAGGTATGTGGAACGAACCTTTTCCTTCCGGCTTGCTTGCGACCATGGTTACATTGCGACAGAACACGTATACGGGTCCAATATGGATCGGCCCTCTGCACAACATAGCATATTTACAAACAATGTCACGGGTAGCCAAGGAATTAAACTGGATTGCCTCACCTGGATTCGATATGAAGAAACTCGATCCTGAAACTTCAAAATTGACCGAGGTGCTAGATGTAATGCTGGAGGAAAGCAATCCAGCTTTGCCATGCGGTTACATTGGGCTTCACGAGGTACTTACAACCTGGATTCAAAACAAGATATGAACATATATACTTTTAGATTGCAAGCAGAGGAAAGATCCCAACTCCCAGAAGAGATACCTTGACAAGGGGACTACAAAAGGTACATCCGGTCACTCGTGCTGCTGCTGTGAATCTCTTCTCTCTTCTTTTTTTGCAGGAAGGATACGTAGTGAGCCGGTCGCAAATCGAGCCAAACTCGCTCAAAACCAACGCATCAGTAGCTGAATGTATTCACGTAGCGCAACAACTGTTCGCCCTGCAACACGACAAGCTGTCAATACAAAGCTAGAATTTTGTGTCGTACCTTAGCAATTACCAGCTATGATTGTTGCTTCTTTCCTAGTTTCAGCGTACTCTCCACGAGCACACGGCATGCAGTACCGTCTCCTTCCATCCTATGAGCAGCCAGTTTCCATCCTGGCCAATCCCAAAGCTCTTGTGATATGTCCCGAGCATCGCTCTCGCCTTTGCATAAATGTCTGGACGCAAAGGAAGCTGCTCGAATCCGGCTTTCACAGTCCTTGACTGCCACTGCTTGTACGTTTCCGCTCTTTCTACTCTTTCCTGGCCTTCGCACGCCACAATGTTGAGGATCTCGCGTCCCAAAATGCTCTGCTCAATGAGAAGCCTTTCCGGATACTCAGGAGGGATTGCAGTGTCGATCGCATCGAAGAACGCTGCATATAATGCGAGAGCTTCGCGGAACCGACTGATGAAAAATGGAGCGTTGTAGTTGGCATTCACCACCGCCTGTATAAAGACCTTCGGTTTCATGCTTCGTATCCTGGAGAGTACCAGCTTTCTTGGACTGTCCACCATCACCGACTCGTCTAGCAAGTGTCTCAGACGGAAATGCGAGCTCACGATCAACACCTCGTCGTGCCTGAGAAATAAGGTTGATGGCTGCACGCCCTCCCATTTGGTTGTTGCTATAGCGTGGAACTCGAAAGGAACTCCAACTTGCTTGGCGTATTCCGACAGCTTCCGCCCGCTTTCCTCAACTCTCTCCGCCGGCTTGAACCCAGGCTGAGGAAAATCTATTCCTGTTATACGCAAGTGCGGAGGACCACCTTCGCGCTCGGAGAAGGCCTTGATGAGGCAGGGCCACATGAACCCGTAGAGGATACCATAGTCGACAATGTGCACCCTGCCGGCCCCCACTGTAGCATCAAGAATAGTCTGGTTGCAGACGTAGTGCGATATCCTCACGTTCGGAGAGTAGCGAGTAAAGAGCCGATACGCTTTCAGCATCTCGTGAAACGCCGGCTTGTTGCTGGAGAGAGCACTGTAGAGCAGCGTGCCAGTACCGGTTATACGTGCAACTAAAGCCTCGGCAAAGTAGAACACCATTCTCTCCGTGCCGCTTCCACGCGGCGAGGTTTTGTCCCTGATCCCGTTGACAATCCCGTAAGCCTTGGATACATCATCCGCAGCCACCGCCTGCGCACACTCGATGAGTTTGCCATGCAGCTCCTGTCGGATGGCCTTCTCGGTTTCAATGGCGTCGTTGTCAAGCACTGCAGGAGTCCTCACATGCCCAGCCACGAGCTGGTCGTGCGTCGCGAATAAATCCCCCGACCATGGATCGTGGTCATGAACAGCATCCTTCCCTGGCGCATCTTTGAGAAACTCGGAGCACTCCCGGAGCAGCGACTGCAAGGACAGTGCATCCCGCTCCACAATATTCACAGACTCTTCTTCCTCCACCACCTTCCGATGACCACCACCTTCATGGCCACCACCTTCGCCACCGGGCGTAGAGGCAGCCGTCAAAGCCTGAATCTCGTTCATCATCTTGTGCACGGTGTTCTCGTACTCTTCGTCGGACATGGTCCGACCCTCGACTCTCACATCCGAGTCGACCACTTCGTCGTTGTTCAAGACACCATGGATCCACGAATCGACTGCTCCCTTGTTTGTGTTCTCTGACTCCGAAGCACCCGACGAGGAAGAATCGGAGATGATCTGCGTGAGCTCGTTGGCCATGGACTTATACCCGGAGCAATCGATAAACATGCACGTCCTCTCGTCTGTGTCCTCGTCCATGAGCATGTCGGAGATGTAGCTAAACACCGGGTCTTTGAGGGGATCGGCCTCAGACGACCCGGCCGGCTCCATGGGAGCTGGCTCCAAGTAGACACCATCGTCCATCCCCGAGCTCTGGAAATTTCCCATGGATCCATGAAAATCCGTCCCAGACACGCTCGGGAAAGCTCCAGTCGATCCATTGGCAAAGAAATCTCCAGCGGCTGGAATCTCTGCCGGCTTGCTCTGGCACATCTCCATCGTTGGATCCGTGCCTGCCATGCCTGGTTCTGTTCTTGCAAATTCGACGAACTGGCTGAAATCCATCAGCAGCGCCTCCATCTCCACCGATTTGTCGTCCCTGCTAGAGAATGCCGCCGATCCAGAGCACGGAACACCGATCTCCCGAAATATTTCGCGACGCAGCGATGATCCAGTGGCAAGAACCGAATCCCTGGCGTGTTTCTAGCGGCGAAGCCACCCCGTGCCTACCTCGACGCTGTCCGCCATAGCTCCATCGAGTCAAAAGCCCTCACCTCTTACATAGGGTTTTCCTTCTTACGCGGCAAGAGCCCACAACAGCATGACTAGCGTACGGAACGAAAGATCTTCTTTCTGGTAAAACTTACATATATTATCCTCTTTTCACCCCCGTACGGAACTCGAGTTACAAAGAGTACTTGGGTGGAACTTTTCCTTGAGATTTTTGTCTAGTTTACACTTACTGGAGATGCTGATGAGAGGAACTCGTCACTGTGACAGGAGCCACTACAAGAGACTCTCACTTGCGGGACGCATTTCTCGCCGGATGGATCATCGTCGTCGTCGCAAGCAGCTTCTCCGCCATCGTGAGCCTCGGATTCCGGATTGTAATCGTCGGCGGCTAAATCCGGAGGGAGCTCTTCTCCATCAGTAGCTCCAGCGTTCTCGTCGGTCGCGTAGAGAATTTTCTGGATTGCTGGAATGATCTGCTTGATCCAAGGAAGGAGCTTAGCTTCGGTGTGAGATTTGTATCAGCTTACCTCGGGACCTTCCACATCTGAGCTCTGGCACAGGATCTCGATGTCTCGGAGCTTGGCGAAGTAAAAGTCCCGTTCCTTCTCCAAGCTATCCACCGAGAGCCTCAAATCCGCAACCTGCTCGTTAGAAGATGAACCTTTAGAATAAAAACACTTGCAAAAGTTTTGTCAATACCTGTTCGTTGAGAGCCTTGATTTGAGCTGAGCCTGGAACCATGATTCCTGAACCAGCTCCTGGTCTAGCAGATTTGCTAACTGCAGAAAAGATCCAGTGCTAGGTTTAGGAAACGAAGGCAAAAAAAAAAATGAAGTAGGCAGTACCATATCCACCTGAATTACGAACAGCTGTTGCTGCACTGCAAGGTCTCGAACTCGATGGTTTGTAGCCAACCTTCTTCCCCGCACCAACACCGCCTTTAGAAGTTTCTCTTCTTTCCACGGGATTGTAGCTGAAATCATCATCCAGTGAGAAAGGCTATACAGAGCTTTCTAGCAGACTGACTTTGGAGACGAAGAAACAGAGTCGCAGTATCTCTTGATCCATTGCATAAACTCCAGGTTGTCTAATGGCCGGCCTTTGACAAGCTTGTTCACTTCAATATGCTGCAGCACGACGCAACGTGAGACGGAGACCCACCGCTAAAGTATAGTATAGAAAAAACGCACCTTGTTAATGTTAAGCTTGTTAAAGACCTCCTGAAGTACTTTGTAGTTCTGGATCATCTCATACTCGGTCTTTGCATCAAAATTCACCTGCAAAATGTTTTCTTTTAGTGTACAAAACAAAAGAAAAACCACGACTAAGACCTTGTGCATCGGAACAACACCAGGATGGACAGAATCTATCAGTTGACAGTGGACAGCACCAGAGGCCGCCTGCAAAGAAGGAGAAAAGCGAGGGTAAGTTTCTTATTCGCTAGAGAGCAATGAGAGAAGCTCTAAGATGCACGAAGAACAAATCGCAAACAAAACGATGTGAGGTACCCTTAAGTCCCGTCTTAGAGCATAGATCTGATGGCGGGAGAGTGTTCCTCTGGAATGGAATGAAATGTAGATGAGAAACAAGAGAAAAATACGCACACCACACCAGAGAATGGAAGAATGGGGCCTCCCTGGAAGCAGCATTGTCACGGGAAGCTAGAAATCCGCAAGAAGAACGCAAGAATGCGGCAGTGAGGCCATACCTCCTCAACCCTGGAGAGATTGAGCTGCAGCACCGAATTCACCCACGCCAGGAGCTCGTTGCGCCCCACGAAATAGGCGCTGTCCATCATCCCGATGTTGGCAGCAGCCATTCCGCCACTCCGGATCTATCCAATGCTGCGCAAACCCTACTCGCGCAAAGAAGTTCTCAGATGCCCTAGAAAACTTTCCTATTGTCATTCTCAAAAGTAAACTGTTCTAAAGGATAATTTCCAACTTTAATGATCGACGTTTTGGGTTTAAGATATGTTTATCAGCTATAAACACAAGTTTAACCTGGAGCCGTTGGATGTTGGCATATACCAGAATATTTTAGCATGTTCAAATCTACACCATTCCCGCGCGACTGGCGAAGTTGGCCTCTGTACACAACACAAAAAACACATGAGAAAGCAGAGCCATGGCCACACTGCAAGAGAGCAAAAGAAAAAGAAAAGAATAAAAAAAAGCTGGCATTGCAATGCTGAGGTACTGAACTGCTGCTGCATTGCCATTGGGCTGCTTGTTGCTTGCTGCCTGCCAGCAAAAGTTAAAGCGGCTGAGGATCGCAGAGCTCCCCCATATTTCCCACAACAAAACATGGGGAAAAACGGAGAACAAAAGCAAGAACACGGATCAAACAAAAAGAAAAAGAAAAAGATTTCGATACCTGGTTGTCACCTTGTCAAAGAGACTTGGATTTGCAAATCCTTGAGAAGATCTTTCGGATTGTTTCAGTGCGTGTCATCCCCCTCGGCCAACCTTTGAGAGAGAAAGAGAGAAGCTCTGCATGGCTCCCCGCACGCCAGCTAGGAATCCTGCCGAAACACTTCGGTGGGCTTCTCAGGTGGCATACAGGGAGCCAGGCAGGGATTGTTTGTTGCTTTCGCCACTCCGATCGAAGCCATGGATCATTCCGTGGACACACATTTCCCGCTGCTTGCATTGCTTGTCCGTCGGCAAGCTCTCCACAAACGTAACGCGTCCGTGTGTTTCAGCTGGCCGGTTCACTGGACAAACTCCGGGAAATCAGAAAAAGAAAAGCAAAAAACGTTCCCAAGTCAGTACGTCGCTTGCAGCAATGCAAGATTGATCAAACATTAGCCATGATCTGGACCTGGATTTCCTCGCAAAGTGATGATGGATTCCCGAACAAAGCTGGACGCAAGACCTGAATCAAGGCACACACACAAGAGGGTCATAAAATACCAAGTGAACCAAGTGGGCTACTGACACTGTCCACAGAGCTCCCTCTGGAAAGAGAAAAATTATTTATATGTGCATACAAACACTTGTATATATCGGGGAATTTTTTAAAAGCCCCCCAAACTCCAGAGTGCGCACCACAAGAGACAAGTCTTGGGGAGCGTAAGAATCAAATCTTCCCGGACTAGACAGACGCGGGATTGATTAAAACACCAGCCCAAGCAAGCAAGGCAGCAGCACAGAGAGAAGAGAGACGAGAGACGCTGAGAGACGAGAGACGGGAGAGAGAAAAAAAAAGGAAAACAACGTAGCCAGGAAGTAATCAAAGATTTCCCTGACACTGCGGCTGCTAAATCGTGAGGTGAGAGTGGTGCTAATCCCCACAGCGCTCTCGCTCAGGACTCAAACACTCATGGAAGCGCACGACCAAATCAAAACAAAAGACTAACCTCCCTTGTAGCAATCAGTCACGAGATCTCCAACACAAAAGAATGGAAGAACCACAAAAGCTTCAAGAGAATGAAGAAGAAAAGAATGGAGAGAAATGCAAGAGCCCAACCCACATTGTCACACTCTTACCTTTCAAATCATTCAGTAGTGAGAAGCGTTCGTTGGAAGTGATCGCGCAGCGGACGAGCGGAGATCTAAAACAACTCAGCCGTCCTCATCAAAGGATCTAAAAACATGACAAGAATGTAAGTTTTTCTTTCTTCCCGTGTGAGAAGAGCCAAATAAAAAGGAAAAAAAAAACCTGTATTTTGTTGTTGTGCTTCGATTCCGTTGTTCATATCGTTCTCTTTTTTACTTTTTTCCTTTTGCTTTCGTTAAGAATAGGAGAGCGAGCGAGCTGATCAAGTGATGCATTTAAGAAGAGTTCCAGTCCTCTCGGAGATGGATCATCATCAATGGAAAAGCTGAACGCTGCGGTTGTTGGCTGCGGTTGCTGGCTGTGTGTGTCGATCTCATCGCAGCTCCTGACTTGACCTTGCATCTACCAATCAATGAATTGCCTTGACTTTCCCCGACTGAAGGAATTCAGACATCCAGATCCAATCGTCCTTGATGGCGAGTAAGTTTTTTGCCAGGATGGTATGATGAAGAAACTGCAACGCCCAAAGAGTGTGTATGTGTGTAGTGACTGTGAAAGTTTAAAGAATTAGATGCCACACTTGTGAGCACTCACACACAAGAACGCAGCACACATGTAAGCCTGCTGTTACAAAACGAGCAAATCAAGCATGATCGAGACGAAGAACAGAAGAAATGTTCCAAGCAAGCAAGCGCAGTACACGCTTGGAAACAAAGAGTCCGGAGCAAGCAATGCAAAGCCATGGAAAACGACGGGCAGATCTCGCATGAATTTCTCTCAAGAGAGAATTGGAAAGAAAAGCATGGGAGAGAAGGAAAAAAGTGAGGCGCGCCATAGCTCATTCAAGCTGCGCTGGTGTAATAATGAAAGAGTGTCACAGACAAGGACACTACACGAGGACCAGAAGACCACTTCCATGGCTGCCGCGCTGACACGATTTATCTCAAACGAGTGAGAAGGAGGAGATTAAGCTTGATTGATTGATCGATCGATCGATCGATCGACGACTCTCTCTTCTACTGGGATTGCACGGCGAGATCACAGGCACGGACAGCACTAGACCGCACTAAGCTTTTCCAGAATTCGACAAGGCAGCCATCAAAATCGAGTCCCAAAGAGGGAATCTTTGACGCCGATGCACGCTGAGTAGATTCCTCCCCCAGCAGCCCCAGCGCACAATCATGCACGAAAAGAGAAAGAGGGGGAGAGAGAGACGGGGAGGAAAGCAAAAGAACAGCACGCACGCCATAGCATTGCTTGCAGCCGCACCAGATCACACCAAAGAAAATCTGTGAGAAATTTGCGGAATCTAGGCGGCGATTGTCGCGGCGATTCGTCCGGCGGATCGCGCATTCTTGGAGAAGGCGGCAGCGATGGGTCGATCACACAAAACCCTAGCGAGCGAGAGAGAAAGAGAGAGGAGAGCTAGAGCTCTTGCGAAGAGGAAGGAGCAAGGAGCGTCCGTGAATGGCGGGCCACATTAAAACAAGGGCCCCTCGCCCAGTATTTATGAAGCCTCTTCAAGCGGGAAAAGGGAACGCACACAACGCCGCTACGCACACACACAGTCACAAAGCACTCTTTGGATGTTGGGAATATTCCGGACCGGGAAAACGTATTCCGTCCCCGCCGCCCCGGCCGGCGGATGTCGCGGTCAGTTACGCAAGAAGAGGACAACTTCCCGGCCGGCGTACGGAGGGGTCAAAGTGAGAAATGTGCCCCTGCCACATGGCAGGAAAGCCTGGCGCGTCAGCTAAGCCCTAACCCTAACCGCCACCTATATGTACATACGTATGGCTGGGCGTCTATTACGTACTGCGCGACTGGATGTTACTGCCCTCACGTGAAACGCCCAATCTCTTCTTCCACGGCTATGCGGGTGAAAGAAAACTTTCACCTAGCAGCTAGCGTAGCTGGGCGCGTATATACGCGTCAGGCTTGTCCACGGCGGGATCCAGCATGGCAGTGGGCATTGGCAGTGGCGGCCTGCCTGTATGTCACCCGGATGGGTGGCCTGTCCATGTACCTACCGGAAAACACGGAGTTATTTTACCAGGTGAAAAAAAATCAACGCACCGTCAAACGGGAGGATGATTTGATCAATCAATCCACCAAATTGGAACATTTGCGAGGCGCGATGAAGTCATCATCCTCAAACCATACGAATACCAAAATATATCATAGACTTGTTATAGACGCTGATTGATCTAGGAGGTGATCATTCGGTGCGTCCTCGAATTCCGCAATGTAAGAGATGCTCTGTCGGGGCATTTGTTTATGATTGGCGTTGCTTGGGCATTTGGGCAAATACAACACACCCTCGATTCAAGGCAAAGGAAACGGATATCCGCCTTTTGCCCATTGCAAGCAACGAATCTCCCAGTGAAAATCGCTGGATCTCGAGGAGAATTTCCAGACGGGCTGTGTCCCTGCCGCGTTCCAAATACCACTACACGCTTGGCGGATGCCACCCCAATTTGCCACACACGGGGATTTTCCATGCTACGTACACACTCTAACATATCATGTCACAAGAAACAGTTGATCTGGGAGGGAATAAAAAACGCTGGACGGCGGGAATATGCCCCTGCAATTTGTTTGACTGGGACACAAACATACAGCCCAGCACAGCCAGAGCAGTACGGTACTGCGCGAGACTGAGCGCGCTACTCGGCAAAGCTGTGATTTTTCTAGCGATTTGGACGGACAGACAACACACAAGACAACACAAAAGTGCGTTCTCATGGATATGTGTATTCATGAATTCGAATGAATGGCTTTTTCACTCTCTTTCTTTATATGTTTGTGTTTCTGTGGCTCTCCTTGATGTGATGTATTCCATGGCGGAGCTAGGAGCACTCCAAGTACCGATTTGTCTCCTCTAGGAGCCATGGACACCAAATGTTATATCCAGCAGAGCTCCAAACAAATGAGGAGTTGCTATCAGAGAAGGAGTTTTCTGAGACACTTCATTACAAAGTTTTCATGGGTTGCTTTGTTTGTACATACCATGTGATGGAAAATGGAACAACGCTCTGATCGCAGGACACAAGAGACAATATACTTAGGGCCCATTCTGTTCATTCAAGGAGGGGGCGACGACGGAGACATCAAAGCGGTACAAGAATCTGGAGGTGGTAATACGGCTGAGATGATGCTGTCATCTTCTCTAGATTCAGCCGGTTACAAACGAGCAACGGCGAGCTCTTCTTGAAGGTGGACGTGGGAAACACTACAGTCGACACGACTAGAAACAAAGCTGCGGACTCACTCCCAACTTTTCCTTTCTGCAAAGTGACAAGCTCATTCCGGTTGGATTGATCGATGGCAGGCGCGTAGACAATGGCATGCCCTAAGCCCACACTGGAAAGGTGGTGGACCGGATCCTT